GATATGCGACATCTATTCGACGTAAATATTCTCTTTTATTTTAAAGGCTATAAGCATGCGTCCTATCTATACAGAATGTGAGACTTCCAAGATTACGCGTTTTCAAATCCCTGTCACATTCTACAAAAAAGGTGTGAGGTTCCTAATGACCTTCCCCTCCTCCCCCCACCATACCCCCAACAGGAATGCTGGAAGCGCCGCCAAGAAGAACAAAGAAAAGAAATAGTTAACGCAGTTGATAAATGTGCTACAATACAATGTCTCCATAATCAATGTTCACTGACGTTACGCTCAAAAGATGAATTGACTAAAATTGATTGGACATAAATAGCCAAATATGTAAATAATATGCCAAAAAAACAACGTTTCTTGGACATTTAGACAATTCAGATTAAAAATGAAGTTGAAAAATACGATTGCCGTCAGTCCCAGATTTATGGAAATGCATTACCCAAATCAAAACTTTTTGCATAAATCATTCCCGATAGAGTGTACATTATCAATGTATTTATTTGCATATAGCCACTTAAATACCTTAATTAAAAATTGAATTATTACATAATTTAGTGCAAGTGAGGCATATGTTGCCTATGGTATGGATACACGCAAATTTTTATGGAGCTAATCCCTCAAAAATAGTGCAATAGCCTTAAAAACAAAGTTAAGCGATGCACACATGTGGGTCCGATAACTATCTAAACTATTCTGCATTTACAAGACGCCCTTCATTACATTGCATGTCACGTGACTGTGCTTATTGAGAAAAGTGAAGTCCAAAAGATCGTGCATCGAAAACCATTTTTGCTGTGAATACTTTATCCTCAAAAACTCTTTTAAAACAATTTTCTGAACTGTACATATTCCACCCAACCGATAATTCAAAACGCTTGTAACTTTTGCGTTTTACATAAATAGGTTAGCGATATTTTCGACGATGTAACTTTTATTTCGTCTTTAAGTGAGGATTAACGCTTCATATAATGCAACTATATATCGATGAATTATGCAAGGTCTTTGTTGTACTGATAACATCACGAAGTACAAAATGCTATAAATTTTCCATCGCAATGCACTGAGCGAGCGACGTATCAAATACAGCAAAATACAACAATCTTAATAACTCAAATGACAAATTGCATTTTAATTTAAGTTCGCAGAAAATTTTGGGCTTGCTTTCGCTTTGAATAATTCTCAAGCACAAGCATCGGTTATCAATCAGCGCATGCGCAGAAGATATCACAAATATTCAAACGGTCATTACGTTTTGAAAATAATTAATTCGTAATCTTTACACAAACAACCAATCAGAAAGTTTAAGATAATTTTCAAACCGCCCAAAATTCATAAACCGTTTACTGTCAAACGAATGATCAATACATGAAATTAAATATCCTTTGCGTACCTCTAATCGCCCATGCTCGATTGCAGATCGCATGCCATTCCGGTTATCGTGCCAGCGAAGATATAGGTTTCTCCGTGCAAGCAATTTGTTTCTAATCCCAAGTTCAACTAAAATTTTCCCCCAGAAGCTATTTGACTTTCTGTAAGAATCGTTTTGGTCGCCAGACACATGTGACATAGCTGCAACAATTGCATTCACGTCAAACGTGTATTTCGATGGACGACCAACAGTGCGCTGAAAAGCACAAACAAATGCAGTGAATGATAAAGGACATAAACGACCGTAAGACAAGAAGAAGCGATAACGTACCTTCATCATTTAGCGTTACACGAAAACGAGAAGAGCACAAAAGATTTAAATATAATCCTGAATTAACTTTTCTCGCAAAAGTAATGATTGCTTCAATAATACAGGAAAACCGTTGACATCAACGATTCAACGGTCAGTCAAGAAAGACGCAAACACAGGATACGACAAAGGTTTTAAACCGTGAAATTCTTAAAATGACGTTTGCATAAATTAGCATAAACTCAACAATTCGACGAAATAAATAAGACACATATGTTCTATATTGCAACAAATTACATAGCACAAAAGTGTTGTTCTTTTCATAAGCCGTAGATTCTCTCCTCGAACTTGTGCCACGATAATCAGAACATCTTTCCAATCTTCAGAATCACATCTTTAAAATGGTACCCAATGAAAATGATTGCAGCGTGTTTACCACTACTTCAAAATCAGACATAAGTACATCTCATTTAAATAACGCACAAATTAATTAAACCAAAAGAAAACTATTTCATAAGCTGTAGAACCGCCGAATTTGGACCAAGATAATAAAACCATATTTGTAATCCTCAGAACAAGATCTTTAAGACGATACTAAACACAAGTAAATTGTAGCGTGTTAACTTCATGAAAATTAGATATATATAAACATGTCAGTTAAGTACCGCGAATATTAATTAACGCAAAAATGCTCTACCTTTCCAAAGCTGTAGAACCGCTTCACGAATTTGGACCAAGATAATAAAACCATATTTGTAATCCTCAGAACAAGATCTTTAAGACGATACTAAACACAAGTAAATTGTAGCGTGTTAACTTCATCAAAATTAGATATATATAAACATGTCAGTTAAGTACCGCGAATATTAAGTAACGCAAAACGTCTCCACATTTCTCAAGCTGTAGATTCGCTCCTGGAATGTCGGCCACAATAATAAAGACATATTTGTAATCCTCATAGCAAGATCTTTAATCTGATACCAAATACGAGTATATTGCAGCGTGTTAACTAGTTCAACACCCGGCATATTTAGACGTTATTGAAATAATGCAACATGACAACTTGCCTATTAATTAACGCAAAAATGCTCTACCTTTCCAAAGCTGTAGAACCGCTTCACGAATTTGGACCAAGATAATAAAACCATATTTGTAATCCTCAGAACAAGATCTTTAAGACGATACTAAACACAAGTAAATTGTAGCGTGTTAACTTCATCAAAATTAGATATATATAAACATGTCAGTTAAGTACCGCGAATATTAATTAACGCAAAATGCTCTACCTTTCCAAAGCTGTAGATTCGCTCCTGGAATGTCGGCCACAATAATAAAACATATTTGTAATCCTCATAGCAAGATCTTTAATCTGATACCAAATACGAGTATATTGCAGCGTGTTAACTAGTTCAACACCCGGCATATTTAGACGTTAGTGAAATAATGCAACATGACAACTTGCCTATTAATTAACGCAAAATGCTCCACCTTTCCAAAGCTGTAGAACCGCTTCACGAATTTGGACCAAGATAATAAAACCATATTTGTAATCCTCAGAACAAGATCTTTAAGACGATACTAAACACAAGTAAATTGTAGCGTGTTAACTTCATCAAAATTAGATATATATAAACATGTCAGTTAAGTACCGCGAATATTAATTAACGCAAAAATGCTCTACCTTTCCAAAGCTGTAGAACCGCTTCACGAATTTGGACCACAATAATAAAACCATATTTGTAATCCTCATAGCAAGATCTTTAATCTGATACCAAATACGAGTATATTGCAGCGTGTTAACTAGTCCAACACCCGGCATATTTAGACGTTAGTGAAATAATGCAACATGACAACTTGCCTATTAATTAACGCAAAAATGCTCCACCTTTCCAAAGCTGTAGAACCGCTTCACGAATTTGGACCAAGATAATAAAACCATATTTGTAATTCTAAGAACAAGATCTTTAAGACGATACTAAACACAAGTAAATTGTAGCGTGTTAACTTCATGAAAATTAGATATATATAAACATGTCAGTTAAGTACCGCGAATATTAATTAACGCAAAACGTCTCCACATTTCTCAAGCTGTAGATTCGCTCCTGGAATGTCGGCCACAATAATAAAGACATATTTGTAATCCTCATAGCAAGATCTTTAATCTGATACCAAATACGAGTATATTGCAGCGTGTTAACTAGTTCAACACCCGGCATATTTAGACGTTAGTGAAATAATGCAACATGACAACTTGCCTATTAATTAACGCAAAATGCTCTACCTTTCCAAAGCTGTAGAACCGCTTCACGAATTTGGACCAAGATAATAAAACCATATTTGTAATCCTCAGAACAAGATCTTTAAGACGATACTAAACACAAGTAAATTGTAGCGTGTTAACTTCATGAAAATTAGATATATATAAACATGTCAGTTAAGTACCGCGAATATTAATTAACGCAAAAATGCTCTACCTATCCAAAGCTGTAGAACCGCTTCACGAATTTGGACCAAGATAATAAAACCATATTTGTAATCCTCAGAACAAGATCTTTAAGACGATACTAAACACAAGTAAATTGTAGCGTGTTAACTTCATCAAAATTAGATATATATAAACATGTCAGTTAAGTACCGCGAATATAAATTAACGCAAAACGTCTCCACATTTCTCAAGCTGTAGATTCGCTCCTGGAATGTCGGCCACAATAATAAAGACATATTTGTAATCCTCATAGCAAGATCTTTAATCTGATACCAAATACGAGTATATTGCAGCGTGTTAACTAGTTCAACACCCGGCATATTTAGACGTTAGTGAAATAATGCAACATGACAACTTGCCTATTAATTAACGCAAAAATGCTCTACCTTTCCAAAGCTGTAGAACCGCTTCACGAATTTGGACCAAGATAATAAAACCATATTTGTAATCCTCAGAACAAGATCTTTAAGACGATACTAAACACAAGTAAATTGTAGCGTGTTAACTTCATCAAAATTAGATATATATAAACATGTCAGTTAAGTACCGCGAATATTAATTAACGCTAAAATGCTCTACCTTTCCAAAGCTGTAGATTCGCTCCTGGAATGTCGGCCACAATAATAAAGACATATTTGTAATCCTCATAGCAAGATCTTTAATCTGATACCAAATACGAGTATATTGCAGCGTGTTAACTAGTCCAACACCCGGCATATTTAGACGTTAGTGAAATAATGCAACATGACAACTTGCCTATTAATTAACGCAAAAATGCTCCACCTTTCCAAAGCTGTAGAACCGCTTCACGAATTTGGACCAAGATAATAAAACCATATTTGTAATCCTCAGAACACGCTCTTTAAGACGATACTAAACACAAGTAAATTGTAGCGTGTTTACCGTATAAAAACCGTACTATCTTGAATCCTGTGGTACCTTCACAGTCGACTTTGCACGGCTGTACATTCGCTCCACGAATTTGGACCAAGATAATAAAACCATATTTGTAATCCTCAGAAAACGTACTTTCGGATGTTACCAAACACAAGTATTTTCCAGCGTGTTTATTTCTTGAAAATTAGGCCTTTTTAGATGTCAACATTTATGCATTGTAAACATCGCGCAATTATTTAAAGTAAAGAGACAAAAGCGGAAGTAGTCTTTAAAAGGCTGTAGATTTGCTCCAAGACTTTCGACCAAAATAAAAATAGTATAATCCTTGTCTAAATAACTTGGTCTTTACAACGGCACCAAACACGTGTGCATCTTTTGCTTTTTTGTAGCAAAAAATACGGTTTTTTTCTATTTTGTTTCTGAAACTGATGTTATTTAATAACATTAAAATGAATGTGGTGTCAACTTCACACTTTATGCTAATTTTGAATGTTGTGGTGAATCCTGTGGTGAATGTAAGGATGAATGTCAGGATGAATCCTGTGGTACCTTCACAGTAGTTATAAAAATTGCTATGAAACCATCAAACATTCAATTCAGACAGTGAGCTTGACTATGTTAGTTCAGTTGGCTATCAGTCGAAATCGGTCAAACCAATCACAGTAAGACAAAAATTCAAATGAACCAATTGTAAGATAGCAATTGGACTCCCTTATAGGTCCGGCCACCCCTATTATCGGTCGAGATTATTCCAGACTGTCCACTGATCTGGCCATTGACCAATAAAATAGCGTTTCTGGCGTTCATAGACTCCTTTATAAGTCGAATCAGTCAAGCCACCCCGCTTATCAGTCGGTTATTCCAGGTCAATTAAAATTCAACTGATCTGGTTACCAAGGAGATATTCCCTTGCATTAGTCATTAGTTTTCAATAATAAATAAAGCTGGATTTTTATCACGAAGTAAATGCGATAATAAAGTAAGAATAATTAATGAATTTTAATTAATATGAATAGGTAATTTTGAATTTCAAACATCAGTCGCGCGACGGATTTGACATACTCTAGATCCGCCCCTGCTTATGGATGCAGTATTTGTTATTGTTATAACATTCGACAACGGAAAACAGAGAAAACGATTCAGCACAAACAGATGACAGAAGAGTTTCCCCATCGGACTGTTGAAATTGATTGCATCTTAAAGTTGTCGAAACATGTATCTATGCGAGTATTTATATGCTTCTAAAATTATCGTTTCCGTCAAATGTCTACGGACTTGTTGCTATTTGCTGGTAACATTTACATCATCAAGTAGCTGTCATTATTGACTAACATTTGTCATAAGAGAATCATCACACTGTTTCAATAAACACATGCTACTTTGAGTCATTGATCACCAGATCTACATCTACGACTAAATATCCATTTAAATATCATTACTAATCGCTACGTTAAAAAAAATCTGTTAAAAAGAAAATACTTGAATGTTTAGCTGTGTCAATTTCTGTACACAAAATGAGTAAACATGTTTTGTTAATTCATGCTTTAAGAATTATAAACAGCAGTTTGCCAAACTTTGCACGCAGCAGATTATAGAAAGCAATAATTCAAACAATAGATTCTAACTTTTTAGACTCTTCAACACCTTGCGTGTCATTGTGATTTGTCGTATTCATATTTTGTAATACTACTGGGCTATTCAAGTAAGGTGCTTCATTTGGAGGAAAAGCATCGTCTGCTAGCCTTTCGTAAGAACCAGCATCATTTAATTTCGGTGTTGATGGTTCAACAGCAACTTCAGGTAAAGGAACTGTAGATGCCGTGTATGCATCTGTGGGAGGGGTAGGTAATGGTGCATTGGAGTCATAGCTAAAAATGAACATAATATATTGTGAAAGTTAACTATAGAGTAAATATTCTTCAATAAAAACATGCTTACGTTGTAAATAGTAAGAGAACTGTACATAAAGAGAGTACTAACCCATGTAATTTATTGGAAATGAGCAATGGTTGTAAGTAATAATCAGATTTTTTTTTCAATAATTCATCTTTCTCCCTTGCCGCATCAATCTCATCAGCACTTGCTTCAACGTGTAAATATGGATTCGTCTAAAAATGATGAAGAAATGCACGTAAGAAAGAGAAAGTGATGAAGTTGTCATTAATATTATCATTGCACAACACGTAGCAACAACAAATGTAAATAAATTAATAAACTAGGGTTGTGTAATGGCTACTTTAATTTTACGCATGAGGGGGGGTGGGAGGTGACGCCAGGCCTCAATAACGGTCATTGAGGTGAAAAATTTGGAAATGTATTTGTTGAAACAAACAAAACTTAATGGAGCTCACAGGAATCAACCAGATTTCCTTGGATTGCTTTCGAGCTCACTTAGTCACAAATTATCAAAAAAATTAAATGCGCAAGCTTAGTTTGCTGGGGACATTCATTTATCGAAGTAACCAAGTTTACATCATTAAATGAGGACTAAAGTCATTAATAGATCACCTTAATACCAGCAACCCCAAAAAAGTTATTGTAGTCTGACAAATTCCTTTTCATAATAATCGCTCTACACATAATAACAGTAAAAGGCAACTTTGTACACAAAAATGAGTAACAAGTTTAAGAATCTAGCACTGTTTAAAAAGTCTAATCGTATTTCATGTGTTTCTAAAGCATTAATATTTTTACTCTCAAACAAAATAATGAAATCGAACAGTTAAATAACAACGCCAAATGATGCTCAAGAAGTCAACGTTGACCCCATACCTTTTCTGTACGTCGCTCAAGTATTCTTCCAAAATGCTCAACTAGCCTTGAAAATGTCGGCCTCTCCAAAGGTTCATCCTGCCAACAATCTCTCATGATTGTATAGATTTCCAACGGACATTTAGTGGGCTGTGGCATGCGTTTTCCTTGGTTTAAAAATTCCAGCAATTGTTCAGCTGGTAGATCAGGATAAGGCGTACCTCCAAGAGTCATCATTTCCCACAATAAAACACCAAACGACCAACTAAAGTTAGTAAACAAAATGTGTCAATTAACATACGTTAAGAATAAATGGAATAAAAAACATTCTATGAATAAAGTTGAGAAAACTTGCATGTCAAAATAACATATTTATAACTTACACATCACTTTGATGAGTATATATGCGATCAAATAAAGATTCTACAGCCATCCATTTTACAGGTAACATACCACTGGATGTCTTTACATAAACATCGCTTTTATATATATCTCGTGCCAGACCAAAATCTGATATTTTCATGACGTATTCTTCAGCAACAAGAATATTACGGGCAGCAAGATCACGATGTATTAACTGAAAATAACGTAAGAATAAAAATCGGAATAAACACTAGCTTCACATTTCACAAATCACAAATATTATGATGCATTTATTGGAGTTTAAACATTTTGAACAGGCTAGTGAACTTTCGTCGAATCGTAATCATTTTACTACAAGCGTTTTCCACCCTTGCCCCCTCCCCCCTACCTCATTTCCTGCATCCGCCTCATAACCCACCATAAGAGGAGAAGAGGCTACGATTTTTACCTTTCGTGAAGCAAGAAACTCCATTCCTTTGGCAATTTGAAAAGCAGCACCAACAATATCAATTAAAGTAAACTCTTTCTCTGGATCATAGATTTTCTTTTCCCAGGTACTTTCATAGAAAGATCTTTTGGATCTTAAAAATGTCAGCAAATTTCCATGAGGACAAAATTCTAAGATTACATAAAGTTGCCGTCCTGTGGTACAAGCGCCGAGTAAATTAACGATATTTTTATTTTCACCAATGTGAATCATTAGTTTCAGTTCCTCTGCTAAATCACGTATTTCGCTTTCTGTTGCATGAGCTACAGGAATAACAAAGTTTTTTTCAAAGGAGAACAACAAAAACTCAAGATTTGTAAAATGATATGTAAGTTTCCTTAAAAGAAAGTTTTACCTTTAACAGTTTTTACAGCAACAACGGCATTGGTCAAATTAGGTTCTAAGGCTTTCTTTTTAGGTCTTTGACTTGCTCTCAAAGAACGTCGAATTCTCGATCTTCTCTTATTAGCAATACTGCTCTTATCGCGGGGATTTAAAGCTAAAATTCCCATTGCTTCAGCTTTGTAAACTTCTCCAAAGGCTCCTGCACCAAGACGATCACCCATAACGAGTCTTTCAAAAGGAAATTCCCAATCAGAGTCGTACGGTAAATTCATACTTTGCTCATTAAGCGTTATACTGGGGTCGATCTGAAAAAGAAAAATACGTTGCAGTTTTAGACACAGTTTAGACTAAACTGATGAAAGAAGATGAAAGCTAAATCTTCAGGAATTTTTATTGAGCGATTGGAAACCATATGTTATTGAAGTAATTGTATTGCAGTTGATTTTTTGCAAGAGTTAAAAGTTTCGTGTAACAAGACTACATAGCTAAAATAAAAACTAGTAGCAACTCACTGAATAATTTCCTGTTCGTAGAAAATATTGATGCTTGTAGAACAATAGTTTTTGTTTTTCTTTTCTGTATAAAACTAAGATGACAGCACCAACGATGGACAGAAGAACGATCACACCAATAACTAATCCTACAATGCTTCCTGTTGATAGGTCACCACCACTTCTGGCAAATATATCTGGTTGGCGACGATCTAAAAAATTAAGAACAAATACAAAATCATTTTGAAAAATAAGTTTTAACAATGCATCCTCTTAACTATATTAAATGCCGTTTCTTTTATTTTAAAGTTTAACCACGCTCGTAATTATATTTCTATATGAATTAATTATTATTATGACTTTCTCATATCTGGGTTGAAATGATCTAAATACTAAATTTATTTCTTCAAATTTTGTAGGTCTGACAGAAATATTAAAGTCTTAAAAACACTCCAACCATCCACACGGGCAATGAATTTTTGAAAAACTTTATATAAGCCAAATGAAAACTAGCACCTACCTTGAAGTCTTAGTGACAACAAACGCTTCTCTGTAATACCAAAAGAGTTCCATGCCTTACAAGAATAATTTCCGATGTAAGATTTATTCATTTTTTCAACTGTCATAATTATTTCCTTCTTTGCTATAGCTGTGAGCTTCACATCACTATCGATAGAAATCCATTGTACCCAAGGTGTAGGATTACCGCTTGCTACACAACTAAACCTTTCCTTTTCATTGGCAAGAAGACTTTCATCTATTAAAGTTGATGGTTCGTCGATCTTTGGTTTACCTAAATAAAAATTGCACAACTATTCTTACAACATTTTCATATGAACCTTAAATTATTTTGTTGAAGGACGTATATACTTTCATTGCAACACAATAAATCTTTATCATTTAGAAAATCTAACAGTGTAAACATTGTCAACCTACCAGTAACATTAAGATAAACAGTTGCTGTGACGTTTCCTAACTGGTTTTTTGCAAAGCATGTGTAATTTCCCGAATGTGAAATATCAACGCCACAAATAATAAGAGTTGTTCCATCATTCTTCAAGTAATAGTTAGGAACTTGGGTTCTACAATTTGTGATTCTAACACGACCAATTTCTTTACCATTTCTTGACCATGTTACTTCGGGTGGAGGATTACCTGACACATTACAAATCAACTCTGCGTCTTTATCTTTATCCTTATTCACTGTAGAATCTTTCATCTGATAAATTACAGGAGGATATATTCCTGTAGAATAGTAAAACAAAAAATTTGTTCGAATTGCAAACAGTATGGATGTGATTCGCAAACAAACATTTACTGTAGGTAGCCAAACACATCGACATTTTCTATCAAACCTACGTAAGGAAGAGCTAGTCGTACTTATTGTGAACGTTTTTAACCACAAAGTATAATTTATATATAATCGTTTAGGATAATCGTTCGTTAAAATTTTAATTTCAACTCAATGTTTTACAAAAATTATTAAGTTTTACTTTCGTTTTGAAGACGTTTTAAAAGGTCAACTGTCATACTGTATTTATATCGCAATCAAAGAAAACCTATGCAAAAGAGATACATAAGTGGTTAATGAATAAACCTTTCAAAGTCAAAGAAAAATAATATCAAAATTTCACACGTTTAGATAGTTCATGCTAAGATAAAAGTTTGTTCCTTATGTTAAACAGCGAAAATTCGCAATTTTTTTTACAAACTTTTTTTAATGCTTTTGGTGATAAAAAATTTCAAAGCAACCAACCTCGTACATTCAACGTTACAGCAGCATATTCATTAGTGAGAGCATTTTTTTCACTACATCTGTAAGTTCCAGAATCATTGATGTTGATATTTCGTATTTTCATTGTAACATTACGATATTGAGGATTTCTACTTATGGTGATGTTTGTTCTTTCATTATTTATCACTTCACGGCGAGGATTTTCTTTGTAAAACGCAATATTACTACGAATCAAAACATCTACTCTGCAAATTGCCATAAAGTCCTCGTTTTCATTTAAAATTACTTCCCAGAAGGAAAGACTTTAAACGGATCAAAGTTATCTCCTACAGCAAAAAACGAAACGTTTCACCAATGTTATAATAAATAAAAACATTTATCATGTAAACAAAAGAAAATCTTACCAAATCGCAGAAACCTAAAAATTCTACTGTCATTTCCATGAATGTTTTGAGCAACACATCTGAACAACATTGAGGCTTTATCCTCAGACCACGGTATCTTCAAAATGCTTTCATATTGTCCTTTGTTTTTCCTTTTTAAACGAAGACTTATACTGTGAAGGGATCCAGTTATTTGAAACAGGTTCACTACTGTTGCTAACGATTTGTTGATACCAAGTTATATTTGGTCTTGGATTAGACCATCTTATCATGCATTTAATCTCGCCTTCAGTGTTGTGTCGTGCTGTGAAATATTCACTATTTCCTCTGCTGATGGACGGTGGCACTGCAAAACCATTGAAATTTTAAATAAATTATTTCAATTTCAATTACAACAGCTATACAAAGTGCATTACATTGTTCAAAATATACTTATTATTCAAATTGAAAAGATTGCTGTGCAAATTATTTATGAAGTTGAAAGATGAGAGAGGACAAATCTAAGCAAAGCAAAATGCCAGCAATTTTTCTAAGCATGAAAATAATAAAATATTTAAGTACCAAAACGGATCAAGCACGCTCTGTAAATTTCTTTGAAATTTGAGAGAGTTTTAAAGTTCATACGCCTTCACAATGTGAAAATAGGTGCGATGGCGTACAAGCATCTACTGAATAAGTTTGAGGAAATAAAACGTTGAAATCGCCATAACACTGCTATGCTATACTCAAAAAAAGTAGATCCCTATTGATCTTTATGTCTGGACTGTAATGTAATTTGTGACAAAGACAAAAATCGCTTCGTTTTTGGGTATAATCTTGACCCTCCGTTTTAATGAAAATAGTTACTACTAAATTGCTCAAGATGTCATACAGATACTAGCTTTGCAAGAACTCGCAAACATGAATGATAATTCGTTTGGTCAAATAATACGAGAAACGTGAAGCGCTGTTCTTTTATTCTGCTCACAGTGCTTTGGCGAGTAAAATGTGAAGCACAATAAGAAAGCAAAATGTCTTTTTCCTGCGAGTCTTAAATGCATTTCTAATGTTTTCGGTGACAATGAAATAAAACGCATGATATATGTAACATGGATTCAATGAAATACTGCAATAACGTAAACATGTATATGTATAATACAATCTGAGCGATGCTAATTATTAATCAACTTCATTGTGTGGTGATATGTTTTCCAGACTATCCATATGTGCACATGTACAATCCAGATATGTACGATGCATACCAATTAAAACGTCAACATTACCGCAGTGGGTCAGACATACTTTAGACGCCTTTCTTTCATGGTAAATCTCACTCAAAAATTAAGTAATCTTACGATACCATATGATTCCCTTGTTTTCTAACGTTTTGATTCAAAAAGATTAATGAGCATCAGATATTTTGAAATAACGAAATTTTCATTTGAAAAACCTGTTTGAAAGTCAGGTGTAAACTTTGTCAATCGAGCAATAAACACGTTTCATCACTAAATAAAATGGGCCATTGTTGAGTACATAAATGAAAAAATCTAGGTATACCTCCAACATTGACGTAAAATGAAACAACGTCCCTCCCAGGAGGATTGTTGGTAGTGGCAACACATGTGTAGTTTCCATCATCTCTCACAAAAGAGATTGATTCAATAATCAACTGAGGGACACCGTTTAAGCCATATTGATCCTGTTCGCAGGCCAATGAATTAAAATTTAGAGTATCTTTCATTTTCTTTCCAATACAAAATATAATTTCTTTGCCATCCTTATAACAAGTGATATTTGGAAATGGATATTCCTCAACAAAAAGCGTTATCTCAGCTTTATCAGCTTCATTAAAGTGAAAAAAATTTATCACAGATTTAAATTTGGCAGCTCTTCTTTCTAAACAAAACAAACAAATTTTACTTCGTTAAAGTTTGTTTAAATACAAGGATCCAAGCATCCACATTCTACATGAAAATAACACGCAAGACAACAATTTAACATAAACTTTAAAATCTTTTAAATAAGTAGATATTAACGCACGTTGACTTGAAAAAACGTTTGATGGAAATAGGTAGTTGGACTTCATCTGGTTCATTTGACAGTAAAAATATCAAAAATATAATAATCATATTTGGTGTGAAAATTTTGTTTACGAGAAGCACTTTAGAAATTGCTTGCGCACGACAATGGCACAGATAAATAGTCATTGCTATTCAAAAAACGAGATGTTGTTCTAACTTACAAACTTTTATAAAATTCGGCTGTTGTGCAAGCAAACTTTTAGCTTTCACATTGCAGAATATTTTGAATTTTTCACTATGCATAAATTAGAGTACAAATGCAAACTTGAATAATTGATGAAAGAATACAGTTTTGCCAGATTGTGAACAAAGTTCGTAGTATTGTGAGATCCCGAGTTATTCCAAGGTTTCCCGTCAACTTCCGATATTAAAAATTAAATGTAATATGAACTTTTTCTCATTTTTGTGAACTTTTGACGTAAGCAAACCTGAATATTTTAAAATTTCATATGGCAACACTGAAGGAATAAAGTATGGCAACACTGAAGCAGTGAACTCGACATTTGAATAACTGGAATGATAACCGAAGCCAAAAATTGAAGCCAAAAAAATATTTGTCGTCATCATTCGTCATCACACGTCAGGCTCTAGTCTCTCGCGTGTTCCTTTTAATCATTTTTAATCATTTGTCCCTTGGTAATGGTAGAGTTCGGATCTTGATCAGAGCGTAAAAATAACGAAATTTTTGGAAGGAAAAGGTTCACGGAAAGTGAATCAAAGTGATAAATCGAGAAGCAGGGTGAGGTGAATTTGGTCGATCTGCTTTTACGCTGCGGTTTTCCTTTAAAACATATCAAAGTCTTTAAGGTAAATGGTTTGAACCCGGGAGTATCGTTACATGTTTGTAAATGTAGATCGTCCACGTTGGTATAGTCCTGAGAAGGACTGTTTTTGTTGTTGTTGACTGACTTTTCGACAACCTTAGCAGTAGTCTTTCAGAGTCAAATGAATCAAAGAGAAGATGACTACCGCTAAAAATTGTCAACAACATGCTAAATTCATTAAAATTATTCAATTATTGATATCGAGATGACAACCATGTAGTATTTCAAGCACAATAAAAATCGATGAAAAATACAATCGCTCTGTAAAAAGTAAAAATGCGAGTTATAAACTCAATATGTTTTATGAAACTGGATATTCAAGTTTCTTTTTTCTTCGGAAAAACAGATCTTTAAATCCACTGAAATGACAAAAAAAGACAAACACTGTCTGTCACCGTTTGAAAATTTACCTTCGGACGAAAGAAAAGTTTATGCTTGAATATTTTCTCGTCATATTTCCTTATTGTATTGTCTTTTTAGCATACAGAGTAATTTTCATTTGGCTTTTCCTCGTTACAAGTTGTAAGTTACAACGAACTCACTGTAGTAAAGTTTCAGCTGTAAAAAATAAACTTTTGCGAGGAGTTGGCCTCGTGTGTTGTTTGTCGTGATGTTGTTTATATGTTTATGCTTTCGCAATTTGTATTCAAATTTATATTGGCCGTGTATGTTTGGCACTCAGGGGAATGAAACTGGCGTACAAACCGCGTGAATATTCGACTTTGACGGACTGGAACTGACGTACAAACCGCGCAAGAGACTAGGACTTTGGCTTCAACTTTTTTTCTATAAAATGTATTGTCGTTATCATTCCAGATATATATATATATGGAGTTCACTGCACTGAAGTAAGGTAATAAAAAAGGAGAATCGTAAAATTATCCGAGATTTGGACGCCTAGCGTTTGCGTACGCTTTGACCCATTTTTTCAAAACTTTATTATTAGCTTTAACAACATATGCCATACTTTAACACAATTATGTGTTCCAATTGCTTTTTAGCTTTGTCATTTTTGCGTGCAAAATATTTCATAAGTGCCTCTTGGCAACATAAGTCTCGTCCTAAACATAGTCATCATAAGCGACAATTTTGCTCTCAGATGATCCAATCAAAGTACAAATACCTATTTCCACCAAAAGTTTTTGCAGATCTTGGGCGCTGATTACTATAGCGACGTTTTCCTGTTCAAGTATTATCGTTAATCATGAATAAAATAGTGCTCAATACATAGTAGAGCTGATTTTTATCAAAAGGAAAAACTGCAATTCTATTTAATGTTATAACTTCATGATTAATGTTACCAGTATATAAATAAATCCAAAATTCCAACGTAATTCTAATCATCCAATGAATATTAAGGACTTAATTTTTATGGCATTGTAGAATTTGCATGATTTTGCTTGATACAAAATTGAACCTACCTATGACTTCTAAAATGCGTATTTTGGATGAAATTATCCTGTTATTTTTTCCATCAACTTCACATCTGTAAACACCTGCATCGTTTATAGACACTCTTGGAATGCGATACACTTCAACACTTTTTTGAGTAGTTGTTCTAACAGTAATAAGACTTTCAGGAACATGATCCTCAACTATTGTAACATTTAGTCTTCGTCGCCTGAACCATTTAATTTTTGTTGATCCTTTTCCATACTCACAACGAAATTCAAAGTTTGAACCTTCAGTAACTCTACTGGTCACATCTTTTGGATAAATCATAAATTCATATTTTCTTGCTGCAAAAAGAAAAGATAACAATTGCTGAAATTGGAATCAAAAAATAATTTAGAGACACCAAATTTGTTTAAATAGTAGAATAATTCAAAGAAAATAGCATTATTTTCACACAAATATTGGACAAAAACATGTCAAATCAAGATATTCTACCATAAAACAGATATATCTAACACAAATTTTAAAAAGAACACAAAATAGTACATTTAACTTTATCTTTATAAAGCAAACGAAGTCTGTGTCAAAGAAGTGATGTTAAATGTACTTTACTTTTATTTGAGGAATTAAGACAAAATGTAATGTTTGCCTTGGAGAAGGTGCATATGTTTAGAATTTTCGAGCAGTTCAATTATATCTACACTATAGTAAATGTGACAGAACTACTAAAAAAGGTATAGCCATTTCAAATAATACACATACCTCGTCGGATGATAAGAACACCCAATTTAATAGTCATCTCTTTACCATTTTGATCAAAAATACATGAATATCGCCCACCATCCAACACTTTTAAATCGGACATGATGAGAAATGTTCCGTTGACTTTGATTCTGTCGCTAGGAATTATTTCCACATTGTTACGAAAAAATTTCACAGTGCTGTTGCCAGTCAAGCTTACACCACACTTAAAGATTTGTTGAGTTTCAGTTTCTTTTGTGACAACTTCAAAAACATAAAATAAATAGATAACAACAAATAAAACTCAAATGAGAAGAAAATATGAAGAACATATAAAGCATTAGGAGGTGATACGTAAACATTTCAAAACGCTTTTGTGTAGTTTTAGACGCATAATCTTTGGCAGATATGTATGCTTTCGGCAGTAACTATCAATATTACATTAGAGAATGTGTGTCACCAAGATGTTGATCACGCATGGTGGCCATTTTCTGGGTCGCAAAAATGGCAGCTTGTGTTATTATTTGTTGTCCATGGAACTTTGACCAACTGACAACTTTAAAATAGAATTTTTAGGTAATTTTAAAAGTTTTGAGTTGAAATGGCATTGTTTCCTAAGTGTGGAAGGCCAAAACGGAAAGTTGAACAACACCGGATTCGTTTACGTATTGAATTATACCAGGAGAGGATAAGACAAAAAGAGGTAAATAGAATTGCACAACAAACAGATAATGAATTTGCTGCTTATTTTCTTCAAATTTTGAATGAAAAGAAAAACGTAGCTATAGTCCTATGACTATAATTTACAACTAGAAAACTAGTAAATTGCCATTAAAAAATAACAGCATTGAGTTTTACATACAATAACTGTATTTTCTAAGCATTTTAATGTAAATATGTTCTGCAAAGTGAAATTTACTAGTATCTGTGTCCGTTTCGAAGTTTGTACCAACTCAGCACTCGCAATTACAGTCAAAATTTTTAAATAAATATTTTTCTTGCTGAATTTTTCAGCTAAATTAGATGACGTATACCATCTAACTAGGATTCAGTGTACCAATGGCTCAAAAATTAACGTTGTAAACATAAACAGAAGCGTGCAATTGTGGTTGACACACATTCTTTAACAACAAAGCCTGTTCAAAAGAGAAGAGTAGGGGGAAAAATAGCACAACAACATGCAATCACTTGCTAAAAGAACACAGATAAACAGTACACACAGGATAACTTGAGTTCATACTTAGAATTAAGCAATTTGAATTTCCTAATTACATCATTCAATGATATGTCACTAAGTATTCAAAACTGAACTCAAATATATTGAGTTGACAATGAGAATGACATATAAACTATGGATGTTTTGCAAGTGATACATTGTGTTGACATGATACATCAGTGAGGACACTCAAGATGAATGTTGAATGTTTTAGTCTTCCAGTTACATGTGTAGTTCAGAGGCGTATAGTCAATGGCAAATCAAATCAAGGCATTAGGGGTTCTAAAATTGAATGAACGAATGGTCTAAAAGTTTTAAAATGAATGGCAATTAAAAGAAAAGCGAGAATCCTCCCATATCGTTTACGTTTATAATTTAACAACGGTTTTATAGCCGGGTATGAAAACTGAGCTTCAAAAATACACAAATAACGTTGTGCAATTTTAAGAAATACGTTTAAAACAGACACTTGTGTTAAACCGCGACAAATAGCGTTATTCATGGAAAGAATATTTTATCTTTGGCATATTCGGCGTTTGCTATTTTATCTAGAAGTCTAAAATAAGAAGCATGAATCAAAGAAAACTTACTGTTTGGTAGAGTTTGCGAGAATACTCCAACGATTATGGAGATTATTAGAAAGAAAATTACTCCATAACATCTTGATTTTGAGCAAACAAACACCATTATTGACAAACAATCCAATGCGATAATATGAGGAAATTTCAAGAACAGCACCAGCCGTTAATACAATTGATCAATCTAACTAAATCAATTTAATAGATCGTGACTTGTATATAAACAATGTTTTAATCCATAAATACATTAGTAAAACATCCAGAAGCTCCAAAACTGCAAGTTGTACACAAGAAACGTATTTTATGTACACGAGGACCATGCACACACTGAAGTACAATATGACATACTACATGTGTCGTTGATCATTGTCAATCTGAATTCATAAAGAGTGAAGTCTGAAAGTCATAAATAGTTATGCGTATTTTGGGGTGGATACTACATTATGTCACATCCGGTCTGAATGGTTTGCATCCGGTCAATACAAGGTTTGTATAAATTTGCACTTGAATTTTTCGCTTTGTCAACAACTTTTGTAAGATGCAAGTACGTCGCAACACGGCAAAGAACAAACATTGAATTTTTGGGTTGCATATTGCTCTTTTTTACAACTCAAGTGCCCATTTTTGCAAGAAAAGCGTCTCCCCAACTTTTACTTGCCTCCTACGCCTCTGCTCATACTGAACATCTCCATGAAAAATCATTTAAAATAAATGTTTATCGTTCGTAAATGAGAGTCTCTGAGAATAGGAGAAGGAAATAGAAGTTAGGACCATAAAAACTAGTCACTTAGCCATTCATAAATTCGTGGTCACTCACTGGTCACATACAAAGACAATCGTGAATGAAAAGTTGTGAATTGCAACCGATCTCAAAATTTATAATCAACTTTAAATAAACTGGAGGTAAAATTTTTCAATTACCACGACAGTATCAAAAGAAATTATAAAATGTATTGCAAGTACGTATACAGGCGAGTATCGATTGCTTTAGTGTTTTGAAGCCATTTCAAAATTAGTTTTGTCGTTCAAATGAACATATGCAAAAGCAATCAGTGCAACAACTTTCCCAATAATCGTTTCATTCAATCAGCCACTGTTTTCATTGGCAAATGTTTCTGGTCGCTCTATAAACAAAAAGACAAAAAAATCATGTCAAAAATCTTGTTAAAAGTATGGTTTTTTAAAAGGCCTTAATAGAATCCTGGTTGTATCAAATGTCATTCCTCTTTGTGTAATGCTTACTCACATTTCTTCAATTCAACTCTATTCAAATAGCATTTCTTGAAGCATCAAAAACTCTCAAATATAGTTAACAATAAAAACTATCTACAACTCACTGAATAATTTTCTGGAGGTAGAATATATTGATTCTTGTGTTGCTTTCGTTTTTGTTTTCCGTTTAAGAAGAAGATGACAGCACCAACAATGAACAGAAGAACGATCGCACCAATAACTAATCCTACAATGCTTCCTGTTGATAAGTCACCACCACTTCTGGCCAATGAATCTGGTTGGCGATGATCTGAAAAATTAAGAACAAAGACAAAATCATTTAGAAAAATAAGGTTTAACATTGGACATACTAGTTTTAAATTTCGTTTCTCTTATTTGAAAGTTGATGACGTTGGGAATTTCATTTATATAAAGATTAATTTCTGTTATAACTTTCGCCTTTTCGGCTTATCTGGGTTGATATTACCGAAACTATGAATTTCATTTCGTCCAATTTTTTTTCGCGGCAATTTATAAAGCTCTTAAGAAACGATGATTTTCAATACTTTTTATAAGCGAAATGAAAACGCGTGCTAACCTTGAGATCGATGTTTAAGTGACAACAACAAATGCATATTTCTTTACAGTCTTTAGAACGAAAAGGGTTCCATGCCTTACAAGAATAATAATTACCCCTTTCTTTTTTATAAACTGTCAATAAAAATCCATTGTACCCAAGGTATAAGATTACCACTTGCTACACAACGGAAAGCTTTCTTTTCTTCGGCAGAAAGTTTTAGTCCATGTAATGTGGCTACATTTCAGATCACTATCATTATTTATTTCTTTAGAAAGTTATTGTTTTTCTAGTAAGTGAGCACATACAAATTTACATAGCAGGAATAAATAGTCGGGTATACCACCAATGAAAGTTGAAAGTTGAATGATATATAGTTTAGCAAAACAAATATTGCAGAACAATTCTTAGAACACTTCCATGTAAAGCTTAATTAAACTATAAAATTTTATCTTCAATAAATGTATCTTTGCAAAGTCTACTTACCAGTAACATTAAGAAAAAAAGTTGCTGTGACGTTTCCTAACTGATTTTCTGCAAAGCATGTGTAATTTCCCGATTGTGAAATATCAACGCCACAAATAATAAGAGTTGTGCCATCATTCTTAAAGTAATATTTAGGAACTTGACTGTTGCAATTTGTTATTGTTTCACCATTAATTTCTTCACCATTTCTTGACCATATAACCTTGGGCTGAGGATTACCTGACACATTACAAATCAACTCGATGTTGTCATCTTTAAACTGATCCATTGTGGAATCTTTCATACCATAAATTATTGGAGGATGAAATTCTATACAATAAAATAACCAGAAAAAAAAAACTTTACAAAATTTCATATAATTACCTAAATAGTTTTACAAATAAAATGCAAGTTTTAAAACTTCAATTTCAACTCAATGTTTGAAAAAATAGTTTAGATAGTTTGTGAAAAGATAAAAAGTTTGTTCCTTGTGTTACACAAGAGTTTGGAAATTTTTTACAAACTTTTCTTTATGCTTTTGATGATAAAAAATTTCAAAGCAACTAACCTCGTACATTCAACGTTACAACAGCACGTTCATTACTGAGAGCATTTTTTTCACTACATCTGTAAGTTCCAGAATCATTGATGTTGATATTTCTTATTTTCATTGTAACATTACGATATTGAGGATTTCTACTTATGGTGATGTTTGTTCTTTCATTATTTATCACTTCACGACGAGGATTTTCTTTGTAAAACGCAATATTATCACGAATCAAAACATCTACTCTGCAAATTGCCATAAAGTCCTCGTTTTCATTTAAAATTACTTCCCCAGAAGGAAAAACTTTAAAAGGATCAAAGTTATCTCCTACAGCAAAAAAAACGAAACATTTCACCATCAATCAATGTAATAATAATAAACAATATTTACCATGTAAAGAAGAAGAAAATCTTACCATATCGGATAAACCTAAACATTCTACTGTCATTTCCATGAATGTTTTGAGCAAAACATCTGAACAACATTGAAGCTTGTTTAGCAGTCGCTGGTATCTTTAAAACACTTTCATATTGTCCTTTGTTTTTTCCTTTTTTAAACGAAGACTTATACAGTGAAAGGGTCCAGTTATTCGAGACAGGTTCACTACTGTTGATAACAATCTGTTGATACCAAGTTATATTGGGTCTTGGATTAGACCATCTTATCATGCATTTAATCTCGCCTTCAGTGTTGTGTCGTGCTGTGAAATATTCACTATTTCCTCTGCTGATGGATGGTGGCACTGCAAAACCATCAGAATATCAAATGAATCATTTCAGTCTGGATGACAGAGTGTCATTAACACTGGCGAGTTGTATGAACAAATGTAAAGTACAATTTCAACATCAAACTCCCTTACGATCAAAGTAATAAATTTAAAAAAGCAAATCTACTAGCAACTTTGCAATAAAAATGCTTTATTCCCGAAATTAAATAAAATATTTTGGAGCTAAGAAAGTTGTTTAACACGCAGCATTTGTTTCAAATTTAAGAAAGTTAAAGTTCGTACACTTTGGGAATTACAAATCATGTAATTTTATAAAAAAATGCTTTGCCATTGCCAAGCAACCAAGTAACAAAAATGCTTGGGCCATTGTTGAGTACATAAATGAAAAAATCTAGGTATACCTTCAACATTGACGTAAAATGAAACAACATCCTTCCCAGGGGGATTGTTGGTAGTGGCAACACATGTGTAGTTTCCATCATCTCTCACAAAAGAGATTGATTGAATAATCAACTGAGGGACACCGTTTAATCCATATTGATCCTGTTCGCAGGCCAATGAATTAAAACTTGGAGATCTTTCATTTTCTTTCCAATACAAAATATAATTTCTTTGCCCTCCTTATAACAAGTGATATTTGGAAATGGAAATTCCTCAACATAAAGCGTTATCTCAGCTTTATCAGCTTCAATAAAATGAAAAAAATTCTTCACAGACGTAAATTTGGCAGCTCTTCTTTCTAAATAAAACAAACACATTTTAGTTTGTTAAAGATCCAAGCATCCACATTCTACATTACAATAACACGCAAGACAACAATTTAATATAAACTTTAAAATCTTTAAAATAAGTAGATATTAACGCACGTTGACTTGAAAAAACTTTTGATGGAAATAGGTAGTTGGACTTCATCTGGTTCTTCTGACAGTAAAAATATCAAAAATATAATAATCATATTTGGTGTGAAAATTTTGTTTACGAGAAGCAATTTAGAAATTGCTTGCGCTCGACAATGGCACAGATAAATAGTCATTGCTATTCAAAAAATGAGATGTTGTTCTAACTTACAAACTTTTATAAAATTTGGCAGGTGCGCAAGCAAACGTTTAGCTTTTACATTGCAGAATATTTTCAATTTTTCACTATGCATAAATTTGAGTACAAATGCAAACTTGAATAATTGATGAAGAAATACAGTTGAACCGGTTCGTGAACAAAGTTTGTACTATTGTGAAATCCCAAGTTATTCCAAGGTTTCCCGTCAACTTCCGATATTAAAAATTAGATGCAAATGTAATATGAACTTTTTCTCATTTTTGTAAACTTTTGACGTAAGCGAACGTGAATATTTTAAAATTTCATATGGCAACACTGAAGGAATAAGGTAATTTGGATGATTGGTAGTGATGGGCGATACCGCTCGTATCGATTCAATACGATACCGATTACTTTTTCGAGGTATCGAGGTATCGATTACTAAAGCGATTCCTTTCTCCAATTTCGAAAATAAACGTCTGAGTCACTTGATAAAGATCTGATAATGGAATTGCTAAAGTGTGGCCTTATATACTTCAACAATACGACGAAATTTTTATTTTTTTTGTCTTAAATTACAAACTGTCATAACATTATTAGGAGTAACGATAAGTTTTCAGAAGCTGTATAAATTCGAATTGAAAAAATTGGTTACATGTTATTATTTTGAAGGCGAGATCTCAAAGTGTATTGATTAGTAAAAGTGAATAAAATATTAAAATAATAAAACAGAAAAAACAACAACATGTTTGTCAATACCAATAATGAAAAAGAAGACAAACTTACATAATAGTGAAATTTTAAAAGTAATCGAAGTCCTTTTTCGAAACAACGCAGTATCGACTACTTCCGGATTAGGCTCGGTATCGGGCGGCATCGATACCAAGTAATCGGTAATCGCCCATCTCTGATGATTGGATGCCAAGCATTTGCGTACGCTTTGACACATTTTTGCAAAACTTTATTATTAGCTTTAACAACATATGCCATAATTTAACACAATTATGTGTTCCAATTGCTTTTTAGCTTTGTCATTTTCGCGCGCAAAATATTTCAAAAGTGCCTCTTGGCAACATAATTCTCGTCCTAAACATAGTCATGATGGGTGAAAATTTTGTTGTCAGATTAACCAATCGAAGCGCAAATAACTATAGTGCTCAATACAAAGTAGAGCTTATATCTATCAAAAGGAAAAACTGCAATTCTATTTAATGTTATAACTTCGTGATTAATGCAATCATTATCTTACTAGTATATACATAAATCCAACGTAATTCTAATCATCCAATGAACATTAAGGACACAATTTTTTGGCATTATAGAATTTGCATGATTTTTCTTGATACAAAATTGAACCTACCTATGACTTCTAGAATGCGTAGTTTGGATAAAATTTTCCTGTTATTTTTTCCATCAACTTCACATCTGTAAACACCTGTATCGTTTATAGACACTCTTGGAATGTGATACACTTCAACACTTTTTTGAGGAGTTGTTCTAACAGTAATAAGATTTTCAGGAACATAATCCTCAACTTCTGTACCATTTAGTCTTCGTCGTCTGAGCCATTTAATTTTTGTTGATCCTTTTTCATACTCACAACGAAATTCAAAGTTTGAACCTTCAGTAACTTTACTGGTCACATCTTCTGGATAAATCGTAAATTTATACTTTTTTACTGCAAAAAGAAAAGATAACAAGTGCTGAATTTGGAATCAAAAAATAATTTAGACACACCAAATTTGTTTAAATAGTAGAATAATTTAAAGAAAATACCATTATTTTTACACAAACATTGGACAAAAACATGCCAAATCAAGATATTCTACCATAAAGCAGATATATCTATCATAAACTTTAAAAAGAACACAAAATAGTACATTTGACTCTATCTTTATGAAGCAAACGAAGTCTGTGCCAAAGAAGTGATGTTAAATTTACTTTACTTTTATTTGAGGAATTAAGACAAAATGTAATGTTTGCCTTGGAGAAGGCGCATATGTTTAGAAGTTTCGAGCAATTCAATTATATCTACACTATAGTAAATGTGACAGAACTACTAAAAAAGGTATAGCCATTTCAAATAATACAAATACCTCTTCGGACATTAAGAAAACCCAAGACAATTGGTTTTTTACCATCAAAAATACATGAATATTGCCCACTATCCAACACTTTTAAATCGGACATGATGAGTAATGTTCCGTTGACTTTGATTCTGTCGCTAGGAATTATTTCCCTTCCGTTACGAGTAAATTTCACAGTGCTGTCGCCAGTCAAGCTTACATCACACTTAAAGATTTGTTGAGTTCCAGTTTCCTTAGAAAAAACTTCAAAAACATAAAATCATTAGATAACAACCATTAAAACTCAAATCAGAAAAAAAATTAAGAAAATGTGCAGCATTTAATAAGTGGAAACCTTTCCAAATTCCGATATTTTATACACGCAGTCTTAAAAGCAGATTGAGATCTTAGATTATTTATGTTAGAGGTTATTTATGTTGGAGCCTTGCCAGGTTGAAAGAAAATTTTCAAGATGAGTGTGACAGCCCAATGTAATATAAGTTTAACGCCCGTTCACATGATTTCTTTTTCTTCGATCCGATTGCTTCGGTTCAGACTTTTGGTTGCTTGTTCGGACTGTCAGATAATTTTGTTTTTCTTTCACCTAGCCTGAATACTTATGTATTCAAGTGAGCGCAGTAAAACTGTAAAAGTGAACTCATCACAGTTCATTACGTGAGTGACGTGATAATGGTGAGAAGGATAGTCAAGTTCAACTATATAATTTACAGGGTTCTCAGCATCTTCATACATTGGAGCTTTTTCAACATAGCTGTGCCTTAACTGGTAATTTTCAAAGGTCATTCTTAGCAAGATATTAGCATATCCACAAAAACAGGAACAATTTTATTTTAAACGTCCAATCAAACCTCTGATTTTGTACAGTATATAATAAAATACAGTTCACTGTCTAGTAACAGAGGTACTTTTGATGGATGTGATTGCAGTGTTACCACAAAACCAGTCAAGGCTGAAGGCTCTGTTTGGCCCATTCCAGACTGGCCTTGCTTCTCAAAAATAGGTGTGTAACCTGGCTTGGGCCACTGTTCAAATGATATTTAACCTACATAAAACATGCACAATCGACGCAAATGAAAAACTTTATAAAAACGTCTTGACTATTGTCAGTAAAATCCAGAGCAGAATATACATGCAAACACAACGATGTATGTATTTATTAAATACAAATACATAAACATCTCCTTTGTCGTGATGAAATAATTTCAACACAAAAATTGTTTATTCAACAATTGAAAAACAACACTGTCATCCTCACCATTTTGCATGGCATTAATCATTATTCTGCACGTTTATTTCATAAATATCTGCAGTGTTCAACATACACAGAGCGGAAACCACCAAATAATTACTATACTCATAACAACATATGTGTGACTACGCACAAAAACGACGTGTTCCACTCTGTTTTATTTATATTCGTCGTAATATAAATTGCTGTTTGCCCGAGCAATTCCCTTGGCAAAACTCTGCAGATGCGAATTGCTAAGTAGCTACAAGCCATTAATTTGTAATGATTTGCCAAGTGCCTTGGCATACAGTTATCACTGATTATTGGTGCGCTAGTTTTTTACAAAAAAGGTTTTTTTGTATTCTTTGAATTGTTTTTTAAAAAAAATTACACTAGTCACATAACCAGGAAGAATTATATGAAAAAAATATTAAATAATCGATCATATTTATAGACCTTTTCAACATTTAGCCATCATTGTTGTTTATTATGCAGAAGGTAAATTGGAATGTTATTTTATGCATAAGCCCAATTCATTTACCAGTATGCAAATACCTTAACAATACGAATGAAATCACTAGCTGAAGTTAAAATATTTCATTTTGTCTAACAAAGAAATGAAAGAAAATTGGTAAACATTAATTAGATAAGTCAATATTCGCGGTTCATATGTAAGGCATTTCAGAATATTTTCAATTAAGCTTTCACATCTACATCATTACTGCTATTGCACTGAAAATTTAAAGCTAAGCCCATGTGTAAGATTGATACGCGTAGGCTGGGTAGCCTTCCAATTACATGCATGTATACAGTTCATTGAAATCAAGAGCAAAAATCATTCCCTCATCACTAGTTATTCTTAAAAGTGTTATTTATAGCAAGGAAACTTTCAGCACCTTACGCAAATTCGACTTTCAATGTATTATATAAATGTGTAAAATCTAAAATGTGTATGAATGAAGAAAACTTACAGTTTGATGGAAATTGCGAGAACACTCTGACGAATATGGACATGAGGAAGAAAACTACTCCATAACTTCTTGGTTTCGAGCAAACAAACACCATGATTGACAAACACCCCAAATTCAATATGATATAATGAAAAATAACCTTTACAACATAACGCAGTCAGTCTTCTAGTGTTAGTGAATTTTCTCAAGTAAACCGCTTTCGACCGTGACTTTTGAAACAAAAGGTTTTTCAAGTACACATGCAAAGCATTGGAAAATTGCCAAACATTAGAAGTGACAAGAGACTAAATTTAAATAGCCAATTTGTTTTTCAAAGGTCAATGAAAGTTAAAAAGGCCAAAATCGAGTTCATAACCTGTCTCAAAAATACCAAACATACAACACAAAGTTGCAAGTGAAATTGTTAAGTAATGATAGCATAATATAATAATAGTTGCTGAATCAAATGTCAAAATTGATCATGCGTGTTTTGCATAAACAAATAGGTGGATACTGTGCAGTTGCATCCGATCCGGATGTGGTCAATACATATGGAATGCCAGAGCTGTCTTATGCCATGATATTTTGTTACGTCTTGTTAATTCATCATTATTTTCGGTCCATTCGTCATTATATGCAGTGATACATTCGTTATATGCAGTCCATCTGTCATTATATGCGGTCCATTCCTCATTATATGCAGTGATATTTTTGTTATATGCGGTCCATTTGTCATTATATGTAATGCACTTTTCATTATACCTTAACTTATTATGTGGTTATTTCGTTATGTGGTAATTTCGTTATGTGGTTATTTCGTTTTGTGGTTATTTCGTTGTGTGGTAATTTCGTTATGTGGTTATTTCGTTATGTGGTAATTTCGTTATGTGGTAATTTCGTTATGTGGTTATTTCGTTTTGTGGTTATTTCGTTATGTGGTAATTTCGTTATGTGGTAATTTCGTTATGCGGTAATTTCGTTATGTGGTAATTTCTTTATGTGGTTATTTCATTATTTGGTCATATTTATTTCTTCGTTATGTGATATCTAACATGAAGTTCCTTCGATTAACTGAAACACAGGCTCAAATTAAACCATTTGTAATTTGTAACAAACGATTTGTTCAACACGTTGAATAGTCAAATAGTCAATAAGCAATAGTATTTGCGTCGTGCGTCATTTTTGCCAGATATAATGGATAAAATATTAGAAAAGGCAGGTCTCTTGAGTTTGTTTGAGAGATTTAATGGAGAAAGGATTGAGCCCGACGTAGTTTTAGCAATGACCGATGCAGAGTTAATCCGACTTGGCATAACTACAATAAGAGAGCGTATTCGTCTTCGTGCTGTTTGCTGTTGCTAAGACCGTAAACTCTCTTTCGACGATATATTGTGCTTTCAGACACAGATAACATTGTTGCAATTTCTCTTATCAAGAAATCTTCTTCTAAAAAACTCTCCAATAGCTCTCTCGGTATTTCAAATATGGCATGGGTAGTCTCATTTGGACTTCTTTTTTATGGCTGTGCATTTCCATACTTCGTGCACTCGATTCTCAAAGACATTATTTCACTAGGATTAGATAAGACGAGTTGCCTAAAATCGTGCAATGAAAGTCTGCAAACAATATCTGGAGTAACGCGTTCTTCTATCAAACGTTGAGTATGAGAGCTAAATCCAAGCTTTTCCAAAACTCTTTGCATGTCACCGATTGGCGCTATTTTTATTCCTATTCCGTATTGCGTATTATACAAAGGATTATATCATGTATTTCATTATTTATAATATACATGAAAAAAATTCTCAACTCTAATTGGTTAAGAGCAGGGCTATTAACGCAAATACTATTGCCTATTGACTATTTGACTATTCAACGTGTTGAACAAATCGTTTAATACAAATTACAAATGTTCAATTTGAGCCTGTGTTTCAGTTAATCGAAGGTACTTCGTATGAATGTTTTATGAGGCCATGGGTTCGAATCCCGTTGAGTCACCTGATTTTTTCAGGTTCCTGAGATGATTGCTTAAATTGTCCAGCAAAGTGCTAAGACCATATCTTCATTTAATTATGGTACTTCATGTTAAATATCACATAACGAAGAAAAAAAGTGACCACATGATGAGATAACCACATAACGAAATTACCACATAACGAAATTACCACATAACGAAATAACCACATAACGAAATAACCACATAACGAAATTACCACATAACGAAATTACCACATACCGAAATTACCACATAACGAAATTACCACATAACGAAATTACCACATAACGAAATTACCACATAACGAAATAACCACATAACGAAGTTACCACATAACGAAATAACCACATAACGAAATTACCACATAACGAAATTACCACATAACGAAATTACCACATAACGAAATTACCACATAACAATTACCACATAACGAAATTACCACATAACGAAATTACCACATAACGAAATTACCACATAACGAAATAACCACATAACGAAATTACCACATAACGAAATAACCACATAACGAAATTACCACATAACGAAATTACCACATAACAAATTACCACATAACGAAATTACTACATAACGAAATAACCACATAACGAAATAACCAGAAAATAAGTTAAGGTATAATGAAAAGTGCATTACATATAATGACAAATGGAACGCATATAACAAAAATATCACTGCATATAAGGAGGAATGAGCTGCATATGATGACAGGTGGACTGCATATAATGATGAATTAACAAGACGTAACAAAATATCATGGCATAAGACAGCTCTGGCATTCCATAAATACACATATTATGCATGTTGTGATGCACTAGGCACTTCCAAAGCAGACGGGATATTAATATTTACAGCTGTTTCTCAATGCAGTACCCTAGCCCAGAGCCGAAACTAGAACGTTAATTGGGGGTGAATATTCATATATTCAGCACAGCCCGAATTTCAAAAATATTCACCCCCCAATACATATAAATATTCACCTCCCAAATTAACGTTCAAGTTTTGGCCCTTCCCTAGCCTGATCTTCTTGAGTTCTTGTTCATCTGAACAAAGCTCATAAAATTTTGAAGATATTTTAATCCTGACAACATAATCGTTTTAATATCTTCCAAAGATAGTGATATAATCAAGAAATATAATATACTAAATGAAAATTTTAATTATTTATCTCAGTGGCATCATAACATTGAAATACTGATCTATGGTAATTGCTACCGTAAGAACTTACGGTCCACACTTGTTGATGGATGAAAACTTTAAATACAAACCGCAAACGCAGAAATTATATACGTCAATCCATACACATCTCCTTGTATCTCTCTTACGAGCGTAGCCTCTTTTTTAGAATTTATTGGTTTTACAGCACACAAAAAAGTGGATTAGGAAATTGTTCTTGGAAATCGATATAAGAAATTTGGGAAGTAAAGATTTTTGATGATGAATCTCATCTTCATCGTGAATTTTTTTTGCTGTAGATCATGCTCGTTTATGCATACAGTATCATCTATTATATAGTGGGGAAAATATCAAAAAATTGATGTTGTTATTGATTTTTTTTATAAGTCGTCCGCCGTGTCTTTTAATAAGGGACAGCATGAAGAAAATTAACTAGTCAGCTTAAAGCCTTTTTTATACTTCGCTTGAGAAATATAAAAATACTACATATGTTACATCCGGTCTGAATGGTTTGCATTCAGTGGTTTGCATCCGGTCAATACAAGGTTCGTATAAATTTGCACTTGAATTTTTCGCTTTGTCAACAACTTTTGTAAGATGCAAGTATGTCGCAACACGGCAAAGAACAAATATTTTTGGGTAGCATATTGCTTTTATTACTCTCTAAACATCTATCCAGGATTTTTCGAATGGTTATATTCATATACAAAGAGAAATTTTGATTCCTGACAATCTTCATGAGTTCACTCTCTGACACTTACGTCGCATCATCCCTTCAAGGAATAGGTTGCTAATGGCAATGACCTTCACGATCTATTTAGAAAAGTTGGGGGAAGTGTGCTGTGAACTTTAATCAAAGTTAAAAAAAGCGAGACATGAGTTTTGACTGATTTTATAAATCTTGAATCTGTAAAATAGTTCTTTCTAACCATTCACACCTTACACTTAAATTAAAATACAAAAACATCCACGTATCTGGACATTACATTGTTAGTTTTAATTTATGTAGTAAAGACAAGAAAAAGACGATAGAATCATAAACTTTGTCAATTATTATATCCAGGTCATAGCATAAAGCATAAAGTTTTCTTGTCTAATTTAATAATTTTTTTTCGAGGTCATTACATTCCGCAAACATCTCGTTATTTTGCAGAAGCATATAAGCTCGATCCTTACTTATATTCAGTCGCATAAGAAAGGGAGGGGCACAGGTGGAGCGTTCTACCCCCAACTTTAAAATTTAACATAAAAAAGTGCTCTTTTTTACAACTCAAGTGCCCACTTTTGCAAGAAAAGCGTCTCCCCAACTTTTACTTGCCTCCTACGCCTCTGCTCATACTGAACTTCTCCATGAAAAATCATTTAAAATAAATGTTTATCGTTCGTAAATGAGAATTTCTGAGAATAGGAGAAGGAAATAGAAGTTAGGACCATAAAAACTAGTCAATTAGCCATTCATAAATTCATGGTCACTCACTGGTCACATGCAAAGACAATCGTGAATGAAAAGTTGTGAATTGCAACTGATCTCCAAATTTATAATCAACTTTAAACAAGCTGGAGGTAACATTTTTCAATTACCACGACAGTATCAAAAGAAATTATAAAATGTAATGCAAGTACGTATACAGGCGAGTATTGATTGCTTTAGTGTTTTGAAACGATTTCAAAATTTGTTTTGTCGTTCAAATGGACATACTAGTATTAAATTTTTTTCTCTTATTTGAAAGTTGATCACGCTGGGAATTTCATTTATACAAAGATTAATTTCTGTTATAACTTTCGCCTTTTCGGCATATCTGGGTTGAAATTACCGAAACTATAAAATTTATTTCGTCCAATTTTTTTTCGCGACAATATATAAAGCTCTTAAAAAACGATGATTTTCAATACTTTTTATAAGCGAAATGAAAACGTGTGCTAACCTTGAGGTCGATGTTCAAGTGACAACAACAAATTCATATTTCTTTACAGTCTTTAGAACGAAAAAGGGCTCCATGCCTTATAAGAATAATAACTAACCCTTCTTTTTCTAAACTGTCAATAAAATCCATTGTACCCAAGTTATAAGATTACCACTTGCTGCACAACGAAAAAGTTCTTTTTTGGCAGAAAGTTGTAGTCCATGTAATGTGGCTACATTTTAGATCACTATCATTATTTATTTCTTTAGAAAGTTATTGTTTTTCTAGTAAGTGAGCACATACAAATTTATAAAGCTGTAATAAATAATAATGTTTGCCACCGATAAAAGTTAAAAGTTGAATGATATATAGTTTAACAAAACAGAAATTCCAGAACAATTCTTACAACATTTTCACGTGAACCTTAATCCAACTATAAAATTTTATCTTCAATAAATCTATTTTGCAAAGTCTAATTACCAGTAACATTAAGATAAACAGTTGCTGTGACGTTTCCTAACTGATTTTCTGCAAAGCATGTGTAATTTCCCGATTGTGAAATATCAACGCCACAAATAATAAGAGTTGTTCCATCATTCTTGAAGTAATAGTTAGGAACTTGACTGTTGCAATTTGTTATTGTTTCACCATTAATTTCTTCACCGTTTCTTGACCATATAACCTTGGGCTGAGGATTACCTGACACATTACAAATCAACTCGATGTTGTCATCTTTAAACAGATCCATTGTGGAATCTTTCATGCCATAAATGATAGGAGGATGAAATTCTATACAATAAAATAACCAGAAAAAAAGACTTTACAAAATTTCATATAATTAGCTAAATAGTTTACAAATAAAATGCAAGTTTTAAAACTTCAATTTCAACTCAATGTTTGAAAAAATAGTTTAGATAGTTTGTGAAAAGATAAAAAGTTTGTTCCTTGTGTTACACAGCAAGAATGTGGGAAATTTTTTACAAACTTTTCTTTATGCTTTTGATGATAAAAAATTTCAAAGCAACTAACCTCGTACATTCAACGTTACAGCAACATATTCATTACTGAGAGCATTTTTTTCACTACATCTGTAAGTTCCAGAATCATTGATGTTGATATTTCTTATTTTCATTGTAACATTACGATATTGAGGATTTCCACTTATGGTGATGTTTGTTCTTTCATTATTTATCACTTCACGACGAGGATTTTCTTTGTAAAACGCAATATTATCACGAATCAAAACATCTACTCTGCAAATTGCCATAAAGTCCTCGTTTTCATTTAAAATTACTTCCCCAGAAGGAAAAACTTTAAAAAGATCAAAGTTATCTCCTACAGCAAAAAAAAACGAAACATTTCACAATCAATTTAATATTAATAAACAATATTTACCATACAAATAAAAAAAAAATCTTACCATATCGGATAAACATAAACATTCTACTGTCATTTCCATGAATGTTTTGAGCAACACATCTGAACAACATTGAGCCTTCATCCTCAGACCACGGTATCTTCAAAATACTTTTATATTGTCCTTTGTTTTTTCCTTTTTTAAACGACGACTTATACAGTGAAAGGGTCCAGTTATTCGAAACAGGTTCACTACTGTTGATAACGATTTGTTGATACCAAGTTATATTGGGTCTTGGATTAGACCATCTTATCATGCATTTAATCTTGCCTTCAGTGTTGTGTCGTGCTGTGAAATATTTACTATTTCCTGTGCTGATGGGTGGTGGCACTGTAAAACCATCAGAATATCAAATGAATAATTTCAGTCTGGATGACACAGTGTCATTAACAATGGCGAGTTGTACGAACAAATGTAAAGTACAATTTCAACATCAAACTCCCTTACGATCAAAGTGAGAAATTTAAAAAGCAAATCTACTAGCAACTTTGCAATAAAAATGCTTTATTCCCGAAATTAAATAAAATATTTTGGAGTCAAGAAAGTTGCTTAACTTGTTAACATCATTTGTTTCAAATTTAAGAAAGTTAAAGTTCGTACATTTTGGGAGCTCCAAATCATGTAATTTTACGAAAAAAAGCCTTAGCCGTTGCCAAGCAACCAAGCAACAAAAATGTTTGGGCCATTGTTGAGTACATAAATGAAAAAAATCTAGGTATACCTCCAACATTGACGTAAAATGAAACAACGTCCCTCCCAGGTGGATTGTTAGTAGTGGCAGCACATGTGTAGTTTCCATCATCTTTCACAAAAGAGATTGATTCAATAACCAACTGAGGGACACCGTTTAATCCATACTGATCCTGTTCGCAGGTCGAAAAGTTAAAATTTCGAGAAACTTTCATTTTCTTTCCAATACAACATATAATTTCTTTGCCATCCTTATAACAAGTGATATTTGGAAATGGAAATTCCTCAACCAAAAGCGTTATCTCAGCTTTCTTAGTTTCATTAAAATGAAAAAAATTCTTCACAGATTTAAATTTGGCAGCTCTTCTTTCTAAATAAAACAAACAAATTTTAGTTATTTAAGGATCCAAGCATCAACATTCTACATGAAAATAATACGCAAGACAACAATTTAACATAAACTTTAAAATCTTTTAAATAAGTAGATATTAACGCACGTTGACTTGAAAAAACGTTTGATGGAAATAGGTAGTTGGACTTCATCTGGTTCATCTGACAGTAAAAATATCAAAAATATAATAATCATATTTGGTGTGAAAATTTTGTTTACGAGAAGCAATTTAGAAATTGCTTGCGCACGAAAATGGCACAGATAAATAGTCATTGCTATTCAAAAAATGAGATGTTGTTCTAACTTACAAACTTTTATAAAATTCGGCTGTTGCGCAAGCAAACGTTTAGCTTTCACATTGCAGAATATTTTGAATTTTTCACTATGCATAAATTTGAGTACTAATGCAACTTGAATAATTGATGAAAGAATACAGTTTTGCCAGATCGTGGACAAAGTTCGTAGTATTGTGAGATCCCGAGTTATTCCAAGGTTTCCCGTTAACTTCCGATATTAAAAATTAAATGTAAATGTAATATGAACTTTTTGCCATTTTTGTGAATTTTTGACGTAAGCGAACCTGAATATTTTAAAATTTCATATGGCAACACTGAAGGAATAAAGTATGGCAACACTGAAGTAAAGTTACAAAAAAGGAGAAACGTAAAATTATCCGAGATTTGGATGCCTAGCGTTTCCGTACGCTTTGACCTTTTTTTGCAAAACTTTATTATTAGCTTTAACAACATATGCCATAATTTAACACAATTATGTGTTCCAATTGCTTTTTAGCTTTGTCATTTTGTCAAGTGCCTCTTGGCAAGATAATTCTCGTCCTAAACATAGTCATGATGGGCGATAATTTTGCTGTCAGATAAACTAATCGAAGCGCAAATAACTATAGTGCTCAATACAAAGTAGAGCTGATTTTTATCAAAAGGAAAAACTGCAATTCTATTTAATGTTATAACTTCATGATTAATGCAATCATATCTTACTAGTATGTAAATAAATACAAAATTCCAACGTAATTCTAATCATCCAATGAACATTAAAGACTCAATTTTTTTGGCATTGTAGAATTTGCATGATTTTGCTTGATACAAAATTGAGCCTACCTATGACTTCTAAAATGCGTATTTTGGATGAAATTATCCTGTTATTTTTTCCATCAACTCCACATCTGTAAACACCTGCATCGTTTATAGACACTCTTGGAATGCGATACACTTCAACACTTTTTTGAGGAGTTGTTCTAACAGTAATAAGATTTTCAGGAACAGTATCCTCAAATTCTGTACCATTTAGTCTTCGTCGTCTGAACCATTTAATTTTTGTTGATCCTTTTTCATACTCACAACGAAATTCAAAGTTTGAGCCTTCAGTAACTCTACTGGTCACATCTTCTGGATAAATCGTAAATTTATATTTTTTTACTGCAAAAGGAAAAGATAACAATTGCTGAAATTTGAATCAAAAAATAATTTAGACACACCAAATTTGTTTAAATAGAAGAATAATTCAAAGAAAATACCATTATTTTTATAAAAACGTTTGACAAAAACATGTCAAATCAAGATATTTTTACCATAAAGCAAGTATATCTAACATAAACTTTAAAAAGAACACAAAATAGTACATTTAACTCTATCTCTATAAAGAAAACAAAGTCTGTGTCAAAGAAGTGATGTTAAATTTACTTTACTTTTATTTGTGGAGTTATGACAAAATGTAATGTTTGCCTTGGAGAAGGTGCATATGCTTAGAATTTTCGAGTTCGTCGAAGAGGCCCACGGGCATAAATAGACTCTAACGCCTTCCCAACCTGGGTCGCTGTCTTGTCTGTGATTGCCTGGGCCTCCTTATACCGACTTGCTACGTCGACGACCGTCAATACGTATTTGAATGTGCGTCTTTCGACTCGATCGTGAGGCAGATACAAAAGATCGGCCTGGTGGACCTCATTCGGGGTGCTGATGTCAAACTTAGGTCGGGGGATAGCACTTTACGCTGGTGCGGGCAGGTAGATCTGCCAGATGGCCTGTTTTGTTAGCCATTCATGAGCCACATCATCGCTGACGCCAGCCTCTTTAGCCAGCTTTGGGATAGCAGCACGGCCGCGCCAGTACCCTGCAGGACTGTAGTAGACCTCTGCGAGACGTTCCTCAACGTTTCCGTCCGTAGAAACGCGACCATGCCTTGTCGGGACGACGGCTTTGGCACTACGTGTCGTAGGTGACTTCGTAGCTTCAAAATCGTCAGGACCACCACCAGTTGTCAGAGGCACTAGATCGAGCACCTTCTGATCATTAGCTAGAGTGTCTTCGCCGAACATCCCCTTTAATCTTTTTAAAAGTCCCTCTACAGAACCCTCTTCTATAAACAGCCGGGACAGCATGGCGCCCGCAGACAGCCGTTGCTCGACTTTGCACTGCAAACGTATTCGTAACCATGACCCGCTCGGGAAAGGCCTCCTGAAAATATCTGCGCAGCTGAGCAGATATTTTCAGCGAGCGCACGTCCAAAGCTATCGAAGACAAGCACATGCGTTCCAGTACAACAAACAGTTAGCCAGTGGTGCCCCCCTTCGACCGGATCATGGAGAGGGTAGATGTTGTCCGTGTTGCTGATGCAAAATTGCCCATCGTGGAGATGTGGTAGGCTGTCGTAGCTACAGACCCCAACGAACCGTCCTCGGGCTCGCTCAGCCTTCAGGAGGCGTTCGATGTCAACGCTCAAGAGCGGGTAATCCATCTTCTATTCCTTATACCATAATTATGCCAGCATAATTATATGCTATCATAATTATATGCTAGCATAGTAACAAGAAGCACAGCGGGAGTCTAAAAGTCACAAGGGTGCTGCTTGCCAGCATTAATCAGTTCTCGATGATGCGCCTGTAAACATTCTCGAGGTGTTGGAGCGCTTCTACAGTAAGTGGGCAGCCACCGCAATGAGCAATGCCGCCTTTTGTCCGCACCGCGCACGGTAGGTTCTTTTTCCCATGTCGACAAACACTTCCCGAGACATTGCTCTCTCCATCCCTACAGCGAGACATCGGCAATATCGCCGAACTCCAGATGTGGAAAACCTCTTATTCGCAGACCTTGACCCCTGAGATCGTGGCGAGCTGCTGCAGCAACACCATGGCAGGCAACCCAAAGCTCCTCCGGAAGACCCATCATTAGCTTGATACGTTGTTCATATCATCTTTTGGCACATTAAATCTCTGATTAGAATTAATCCATATAAACGGTTCTCAGATCCAGAAAGATCGGATACCCTTTGAAAATGTACTCTTTAGTGTTGAATTTCAACCAAAAGGACACCTCATTAACTTGTTGGTAGGGGCGTAGACGCCGCAAGTCGGGTTTAGCAAACACATAATTGTTAATGCCGTCGAGTTTCTGCACGAGAAAGGTCTTGAGGACTCGGCTGTCAGAGTTGTCCTCATACTCCACAGCGGGGTAGATCAGAGGACTTCCCGCCGACCCGCGCTCATGTCTACTGCATAAGGAAGGGTTTTCACGATTCCGAAGGAGCCACCTGCGGCATCCCACGATTTACCTGCCGCAATCTCGCCTAAACCGAGGATGAGGGATGGGTTATCTTTTTTCATCTTCAAGGTTTTACCAGCCGGCACCCTGACCTGAACTCGGCTCTGAGCTCGCACGTAGCTGAAGACTATACCGTCATGACCGGCGTTGGCCAGAGCCTGCTTTATAACTTCGATGAGGTGCCCGACCTCTGTGTATGTCCCCGTTAGGATGCTGAGCACGGTCTCGCTGTCACCAATAACAACGTACAGCTTGTTGCTTTCATGCCCGACATTCAGATAATGGAGCTCAAACTGGGCACTTTCGACGAAAATCGCCTTTCCCGCAGTGTTCAGGTCCTTAACCCGCATCATAAAGTTGGCTCGAGAAGGCCGCGGCTGACCGCCGGCGAGTTATTCACCGTGGATAGGACTACGCTTGTTGCTGCTTCCATGTTTAAACATGACCAAACAACCTCCTTCCATCCAATTGGAGGTACAAGCCACTGACGCATTTACCGAAGGTGAACCATGGCGACGACTCTTGACACATCCCAAATCCACGAGCCCTTCCGCGGTCTGCTGTCACCTGTGAAGGTAGTCCTGGATGCCATCGAGGAGAGGACCGAAAATAAGGTGTCCCTGCTTGAGGGGAGAGCTAGGGTCATTCCCTATCTGGACAATCCAAGTCTCTAGACTGGGATAGACATCAGCTCGGCAAACAACTTTATGGCGCTTTCGGAATCGGATTTCTTCGTCAAGATGCGGTACGAGGTAAAAGACAATCGCAACCACCCAAACATGGGCAATTATCCCAATTGGATCACTCCCACGAGCCCAGCCTTTAGTTTGGTAAAAAACATCCGTGTGGAGCTCAACCAGCAAGAGGTCACGCAGAGTGGCGTCGGGGCTAATATGCAGCCGGTTCAGCACATCCTGAGTCTTATGGAGAGCTCGATCGGGAAGTTGCAATACGCAGATAGTGACTTATTCGGCTTACAGAAGCTGGATCCCAAGAAGGCTTTGAAAGCTCTTCCCTTGCAGACCTACTCCAATGGAGTAGACCGTCGCGTTGGCTATGCCTTTGCAACAAACACAGCAGGCGGAGCCGGCCATGACTTTAATGCCGATAATACCCTCAAAAGGGCGCCTGGTGTCCAGCTCTCTTCAACGAAAGCTCTCTTCTCGAGTACGGTGCAAGAAAATATTGTCCGTGTCCTCAGCGGGAACTTTCCGTATAAGTTTCGTCCATTCCTCCCCCTCTTCTCCAGTGGGGATAGTTGGCTGCCTCCGGGCACACAGGTGAAGATTCGCGACGATCTCCCACAAGGCGATCTTAGTCGCTACATGATCATTTCTAACAAAGGGGGCGGTGCGGATAACGCAGACGCTATCAGCAGAATACGTATAAAACTGCTGGAGCTCAACTTTATCTACCCCACTTATCGCATGAAAAAAGACTACAGAGACCAGGTCTCGATCGCTAAGGAGCTGTATTTCCACACCTGGTGCCCCAGGGTAGTTCAGAAGTCGTTGAACGATGACGTTGGCACTCTCGCGCTCCTACACAATGCCCCAATTCCCAGGAAGATGATTCTCTTCTTCACCGACTCGAGGCTCGAAGACGCACCAGGACTTAATCCATATGCCGTCGCCGACTCCAGTAACCAATTGGCTATAATCCACGCCAACTTAAGCCAGCTCCGCATCATCGTGAACGAGCAGAACCTCTTTGATCACCCCTTGAAGTTCTCGGGGCAGTGCAGCGAGGGTGAAGCTAACCAAACAGGAGCCACTTACTTCTACGACCCCAATAAAGGTTCCTACCTGAGAGGCTACAACTTGGTCAAAGAGTTTTTCGGAAAGACATACGGCACGGAAGTGCCCAACACGGCCGAGGACTACTGCAACAACTGGTTCATGAACCCAATCAATCTCAATCTGGACCCTGTCACAGATAACGCAAAAGCGCGGGGCAATCTCACAATCGATTATAAATTCACGGCAGTGGCGGACAGTCCTATTGCGCTCCACTCTGAAGCCAGCACGTCAATCAAAGTGAACCTTCTGTGCCTCGATCAAAATATGTACACGATGTCGAAAGAGAAAGGCATTGAAGAAAAGCAAATTACATATGCTAGCATAATTACATTTGAAGTGTGGAGTTTTGTTGTTATAGTGTAATTATGCTAGCATAATTACAAGAAGCAACATGGAAGGTGGTGATCTGAAAACGAGCAAACGCCATTATCACCGGGGTGATCTAAAAACGAGCAACCACCGTTATCGCAGGGGTGACCTCGCGACGACAAGCCGCCAATATGGCGGGTTTCTTCCCCTCCTACGCATGTTAGGCCTGGGGGCCGGTGTGTCGCCGTTGGAGATGCAAAAAGCGATGAGCGACATTTTTCACATTTCTTACTTTTAAATTAAAAGAATGAACCAATTGAACAATCTATAAAGACGATTAATTAAAATAAAACGTTGACTGACAATTAAAATTCTACAGTTGATTTATTTATTGTATTCAATGTTTCCTGTCTCATTATGTAAGTTAACTATGAATCAAATGAAAAGTTTAGAAAATTTTCAAAAACATTAAAGCAAAAGATTGATCAAGCAAAACACTTCACATTCCAAGAAAACAAATACTTACCAAAAGCTTTGCTAGGAATGGCCACCTTTGGTATTGTGTGACAGCTTCCTGGAGCAAAAGCAAGATTGTCGATAGCTGCAAAGTTGTAGAGATACACCAAAACAGCTTCAACGATTAACTATGAACAAAAAGTAAGTGCTTGGACTAATTGACAAAGTTTAAAGTTGAATAAGTATGTCTAAGTTCCGTACCCTAGATAGACCCATTGTAAAATTAACTGTGACTTGGCCTTTTTTCCACTTAGTTCCTTGATCACCTCTTAATGACCACAGTAAAAGATTGTATCCATTGTGAAAATATTCTTGGTAGATATTCAATGTATGATAATGTCTGCGAGTATAATACGAAAATGAAAAACACAGGAGATAGTCGTTGCGATAGTTTCCAACCAACCAAGCTTTGCCTGGAATAATTGATTCCAAACGAAGATATCGTCCTACAAAAAATGAAGAAATGTAAGATACATGTAGACTATATATATAAAGAATAAAAATATCGTCCTACAACACATGAAGAATTGTAAGATATATGCGGACTTTATATATAGAGAAATATAAAATTATCGTGGTTTAACAAATTCAATAAACAATTTTTTTTTAAAAAACTATAATAGCTATAAAATTATCATCTATTTTTGTGTCATTTAGCTGAATGAAACTACATCTGATTTTAATTTTAAGTAAGTATCTATTTTAGATCCAGCAATATATTTATGACGTTAGATTTTAATAAGAAGTAACTTACTGTTTGACATTTACAATCCGAGTTGTCATTTAAAGACAAAATCCTAGATACTCTTCATCATTTTTCTTTTTTTAATTCAAGCAGTTGTACATACAACACTTATTCACTATAAACGTTGCCATCTTACCAATACTGAAGCCTGTAGCATCATAGCGTGGTGTGAGATAAAATGATGAGTTTGATGTACGAAGTTTCCAGTCAAAGTCATCGTCACCTTTTACGTTGTGCCATGGACATTCAGTAGTTCCCAGTCCATTTTGAAAATCACATCTTTTGACTGAACGAAGAAGAAATCGAAAGTTAAACAGCTATATTAGTTGTTATAGAATATAGGAAAAGTCTGAAATGCATTTGTATGGAATAAAAAAACACACCACACAAGATAATGGGTTTTTAACTACAAAAATGTTGTGTAAATTGTACACAAAAATTTCAGTAAAATGTGTATCCACAGCGACACAAACGCTAGTGTATAGACTACATAAAACTATTGGTAAATTTAATATTTTGAGTGAAAGGATGAATTACAAACTTTTGGGAAAATGTATAACACAAAATTGTAGGCAAAATATATAGAAACAGACAATGCATTTACAGCAACACAGGTTTTAGAGTAAGATTTCTATTAAAACACATTTATAAATAGGTATAAAGAGATAGTTGTTTATTGTGTAGAAAATTACATTGATCAATAAGACATGTATACTACAAGACCAAGCATATATTAATAGTCGTAATACTAACTAGCTGACAGCGTCATGCAGCATATGCGGCGCTAGTCAAAGTAAAGATAACATGCATCGATTATATGTGGATTACTGGATTTTTAAGAACTCGTGAAAATATATTTTCCGTGCAGACATCCCTTCCGGTAAATAACATATATTTTATGAGTCAACTTAAAAATTAATTTGATTACACTTATTACAAAACATTGTAAAACTTGTCTAAATTGCGCAACTCTTCACTTTAACGCTCTGCTCTACATGATTTTGTGTATAACAATTTACACAAAAATGAGCAAATTGTTTACTCAAAGAAATTTGTATATTTTCAATTCAAAAAAGTAAGTTAAGATTTTACCGTAGTTTTAATATGACAGAACTCAAAATTTTAGTTAAATGAGATGATTTACGCAATTAATTGCGTAAATTTACACAAAATTTTACGCAGTCCATTTAACATTATGTTTCACGTAAGGTTTAAATAAGGGGTCTCCAAACTTTACAGCCAGAGGGCCACATGACTTTCATCCAGCATGTTGAGGGCCGACGAATCGTATACCGCTGGTCAAAGAGCGAATATTTTAATAAAACGAAGTACATAACACAAGCTTCTTTAGTTAAGAAAATATTTATTCAAAATTTAAAGGTTAAATTTCAACAAAGTGTAATATCATAAAAAAATCACAATTAGTCTGTTCAGTTTTCTCAATGTGAGTGGTGAAATAGGCTTTCTTAAGTATCTCTGCGGGCCGGATTGAGAGGCCCAACGGGCCGCATCTGGCTCGCGGGCCGTAGTTTGGAGACCCCTGGTTTAAATGATAAAAGCATCAAACTTATAACTACACAAATTATTTTACGTTTTTAATCAATCAGCAATTCTTGTTTGTAATTTGGCTACGTTTGCTGAAAGTTCAGCAAAAAAACTCGAAATTGTGTAAAAAAATTTCCAGTCTCAGAAGTCGTCGACACACAAAAATCTTTAATGTTCACTAAATTTATCAAGAATTTCACAAACAACTTAATGACAAAAATTTCTCCCAGCAAGAGTGAAGATCGTTCTATATACTTAATATATTTGTAAAACCCACGGTAACTTTACTATTAAAAATATGTCGAATTGTAGATTATGAATGTTAAAATTGCTTTTTAAATGTTATGTGGACTGTCTTGGTAACTTTTCAAGTATTTTGAAGAAAAGATTATATATAAGTCTACTTTATATACTTTTTAACCTAAATACAAATTTTACTATATGCAATTTAAATGCGATATTTGGGGTATATTCTGAACTAGCAATTTGTTAAAATATTTCGTAAGCGTGTTATATATAAATAACAACGAAACAAATCAACGCTAATATTTATGATGTTCAATGATTGAAAAATCATATGTAAATAGTTTCAAACTACTGCTCCATAAAATTGTTAAAGAAAATCAACAACATGCACTGTCTTTATTTCTATCGTACCAGAATGCAGCGTTGAAAGACGTGCTAGAAATATGGATTTTACTTTATAGGCATATGAAATATCAGTGCATTATCAACTCTAGCCATGCAAACAAGGTATATCTACAAATTTTACGGATTATTCCTATATTATTAATAGAAAAACAAAGAAATAGCTAAATTATATACAACAAATCGTACCTCTTCCAGGATCACCTAAATATGAACTATCAAAATATCTATGTAACATTCTTTATTCTCTAGTCAAAAGTTCGCCTCACACCATCAAAAACGCCACCACCTTCCTCGTCAACATTGACACCGTTAAACTACAACCAGACACAGACACAGTTATGATATCTTACGACGTGACATTACTCTTCACATCCATACTAGTAGACACAGCCAAAGTATTAAAAACGAACTATTTACAAACGACAAATCTTGGCAAGCCACGACACAACTTGACAAAAATGACATCTTAGACTTACTCAGTCTTTGCCTCTTCACTGAATTCTCCTTACAGAACTCATACCATAGACAAATTTCAGGCACACAAATTGTGTCACCACTATCCACCTTCACCGCAGAAATTATAATGCAACAACTCGAATCACAATCAGTCACCAACAACACAGACATCAGACTGAGGAAAAGATGTGTCGACGACATCTTTGCCATTGTCAAGAAAGACAAAACTGAACAAATCCTACAAACCTTAAACAATACAATAATAAACATAACCTTTACTAAAGATGAAGACATGAAAACAACTTACTTTTCTCTGTATCCTACTGACTAGAACAGCACACTAAACACACATATTGTGCCGCAAAACGACCCACACAGACCAAATATTTGATTTCAACATCAATCACCCAACACAACACAAAATATGCTGCATACGAACACCTTTTCATCAGAATCAACACTTATTGTAACACCGAAAAGGCTAAGAAAACAGAACGCAATTACTTATACTCCACATTTATAAAAACAATTACAATAGAAAATTTATAAACAAAATTATAAACAAAACACAAAACAATACCCAAACCAACAAAAGTAACGAATAACCCGATGAAACAGTAAAAACAATCACATCCATGCATACATAAACGGAACATCAAAAAAGACTGCATGACTTCTGCGACCATTCAATATAAACGTCGCAAACAAAGCAACACAAAAGACAAATCATATTTTGCCAAACATAAAGACAAAACAACAACAATTCATGATACAAGGGACGCAATCTACATGATGCCATTTAAAGATTGCTCAAAACAATACATATAGGACAAAAATCGAAGAAAATCGAAACAAGACTCACAGAACACAAAAACGCCATAAAACGACAAGATCCAAACTCATTAACGACAGAACACACGTTTGCAAATAACGACGCATAGGATTGGACAGAAATTAAAGTACTCGGACGCGCACAGACAAAAACGCACGCAAATTTAAAGACGTTTGGTACAGTAAAGACAACGACACAATGAACAAACATATTGACATACCTATCGTATATATTCACAGCTAAAAAAAAACGACAAAAAATCTACTAACGACACTCCAACCACAGCAACTCACGGTAATAATATATATTATCACAATCCTATTCACAATACACCCAAACCCACAACAACATATTTCACGTCATTCAATCACCTAAATCCACCATTAACAAAATAACTTATCCGGATAAACTTTTATCTTTCTAAAGTACATATATATAAGTTTAAAGAATGGTAATCCAGACATGCTTTATTGTAGTGCATGCCGTTATGTAATCTAGTACCTAATAACCAATTGCATATACAGTAAATAATAAATTATCTGTCAGTTTCCTGAAGATCGCCCTATGGCGTGAAACACCAAGTAGTGACAGCAAAACTTATCAATATATTAACTATACAATACATTGATTTTTTAATACTGAATTGTAAGTAGCAATGCTGAAAATTACCATATATACATTGTTGTTCAATTATACATGGTTTCAGTTTATCTTTGTTGTTTTAGTATTTTGTCAAAGTGTTTCCTTCATGTGGTTATGTATAGATAACCAAGGTTAAAATCAACGCAAATACTCCCGATGTTCAAAATTACAAAATCATGAATAAATATTTTTAAAATGCTGCTTCATAAAATTGATAAAGAAAATCAACAACAAGTAGTGTCTTCATTTCTATCGTCACAGAATGGAGCGTTGAAAGACGTGCAAGAAATACGGATTTTTACGAAATAACATACGGCATATAAGTATATTATCAAATCTAGTTCTGCAAACAAGGTATGTACAAGTTTTTATGTTGGGGATTATTCCATTTAGTAGAAAAAATAAGGAAAACATAAAAACAAAAATATGTTTATAATACATTGATTTTTCAAAACAGAAATTTTACTAATAATAATAAAAATTACCTTTTATACATTCTTGTTCACTCACTGCACCAACATTGATGGTACCTTTACCATCATTACAGGAAAGACAACGAGTTTGTTTTGGATATGGTTGATATGTATAGATGGGACATTTTTCACATTCCTCACTTTTAAAGGAAAAGAATGAACCAATTGAACAATCTATAAAGACGATTAATGAAAATAAAACGTTAACTGACAATTAAAATTCTACAGTTGATTTATTTATTGTATTCAATGTTTTTTGTTCCATTATGTAAGTTAACTATGAATCATATGAAAAGTTTAGAAAATTTTCAAGAACATTAAAGCAAAAGATTGATGAAGCAAAACACTTCACATTCCAAGAAAACAAATACTTACCAAAAGCATTGCTAGGAATGGCCACCTTTGGTATTGTGTCACAGCTTCCTGGAGCAAAAGCAAGATTGTCGAGAGCTACAATGCTCGTTATGTATATACGCAGAAATGATCGTGCGACAGCTTCAACGATTAACTATGAAGAAAAAGTAAGCGGCTTGGTCAAATTGCCGAAGTTTAATTTTAAGTTGTATAAATATGTGCAAGTTGCCTACCCTAGATAGACCCAGTGTAAAATTAACTGTGATTTGGCCTTTTTTCCACTTAGTTCCTTGATCACCACTTAATGACCACAGTAAAAGATTGTATCCATTGTGAAAATATTCTTGGTAGATATTTAATGTATGATAATGACTGTCATACATGTAATACGAAAATGAAAAACACACGAGAGAGTCGTTGCGATAGTTTCCAACCAACCAAGCTTTGCCTGAACTATCTGATCCCAAACGAAGATATCGTCCTACAACACATGAAGAAATGTAAGATATATGTAGACTATATATATAAAGAATAAAAATATCGTCCTACAACACATGAAGAATTGTAAGATATATGCGGACTTTATATATAAAGAAATATAAAATTATCGTGGTTTAACAAATTCAATAAACAAAATTTTTTAACAAACCATAAATAGCTATAAAATTATCATCTATTTTTGTGTCTTTTAGCTGAATGAAACTACACCTGATTTTAATTTTAAGTAAGTATCTATTTTAGATCCAGCAATATATTTATGACGTTAGATTTTACTAAGGAGTAACTTACTGATTGACATTTAAAATCCGAGTTGTCATTTAAAGACAAAATCCTAAGTACTCTTCATCATTTTTCTTTTTTTAATTCAAGCAGTTGTACATACAACACTTATTCACTATAAACGCTGCCATCTTACCAATACTGAAGCCTGTAGCATCATAGCGTGGTGGGTCAGACATTGAGTATGATGTACGAAGTTTCCAGTCAAAGTCATCGTCAACTTCTACGTTGTGCCATGGACATAAAGTAGTTCCCAGTCCCTTTTGAAAATCACATCTTTTGACTGAACGAAGAAGAAATCGAAAGTTAAACAGCCATATTAGTTGTTATAGAATATAGGAAAAGTCTGAAATGCATTTGTATGGAATAAAAACACACCACACAAGATAATGGGTTTTTAACTGCAAAAAATGTTGTGTAAATTGTACACAAAAATTTCAGTAAAATGTGTATCCACAGTGACACAAACGCTAGTGTAAAGACTACATAAAACTATTGGTAAATTTAATATTTTGAATGAAAGGATGAATTACACACTTTTGGGAAAATGTATAACACAAAATTGTAGGCAAAAATATAGAAACAGACAATGCATTTACAGCAACACAGGTTTTAGAGTAAAATTTCTATTAAAACACACTTATAAATAGGTATAAAGAGATAGTCGTTTATTGTGTAGAAAATTACATTGATCAATAAGACATGTATACTACAAGACCAAGCATATATTAATAGTCGTAATACTAACTAGCTGACAGCGTCATGCAGCATATGCGGCGCTAGTCAAAGTAAAGATAACATGCATCGATTATATGTGGATTACTGGATTTTTAAGAACTCGTGAAAATATATTTTCCGTGCAGACATCCCTTCCGGTAAATAACATATATTTTATGAGTCAACTTAAAAATTAATTTGATTACACTTATTACAAAACATTGTAAAACTTGTCTAAATTGCGCAACTCTTCACTTTAACGCTCTGCTCTACATGATTTTGTGTATAACAATTTACACAAAATGAGCAAATTGTTTACTCAAAGAAATTTGTATATTTTCAATTCAAAAAAGTAAGTTAAGATTTTACCGTAGTTTTAAGTTGACAGAACTCAAAATTTTAGTTAAATGAGATGATTTACGCAATTAATTGCGTAAATTTACACAAAATTTTACGCAGTCCATTTAACATTATGTTTCACGTAAGGTTTAAATCAGGGTCTCCAAACTTTACAGCCAGAGGGCCACATGACTTTCATCCAGCATGTTGAGGGCCGACGAATCGTATACCGCTGGTCAAAGAGCGAATATTTTAATAAAACGAAGTACATAACACAAGCTTCATTAGTTAAGAAAATATTTATTCAAAATTTAAAGGTTAAATTTCAACAAAGTGTAATATCATAACAAAATCACAATTAGTCTGTTCAGTTTTCTCAATGTGAGTGGTGAAATTGGCTTTCTTAAGTGTCTCTGCGGGCCGGATTGAGAGGCCCAACGGGCCGCATCTGGCCCGCGGGCCGTAGTTGGAGACCCTGGTTTAAATGATAAAAGCATCAAACTTATAAATACACAAATTATTTTACGTTTTTAATCAATCAGCAATTCTTGTTTGTAATTTGGCTACGTTTGCTGAAAGTTCAGCAAAAAAACTCGAAATTGTGTAAAAACGTTTCCAGTCTCAGAAGTCGTCGACACACAAAATCTTTAATGTTCACTAAATTTATCAAGAATTTCACTAAACAACTTAATGACAAAAATTTCTTCCAGCAAGAGTGAAGATCGTTCTATATACTTAATATATTTGTAAAACCCACGGTAACTTTACTATTAAAATATGTCGAATTGTAGATTATGAATGTTAAAATTGCTTTTTAAATGTTATGTGGACTGTCTTGGTAACTTTTCAAGTATTTTGAAGAAAAGATTATATATAAGTCTACTTTATATACTTTTTAACCTAAATACAAATTTTACTATATGCAATTTAAATGCGATATTTGGGGTATATTCTGAACTAGCAATTTGTTAAAATATTTCGTAAGCGTGTTATATATAAATAACAACGAAACAAATCAACGCTAATATTTATGATGTTCAATGATTGAAAAATCATATGTAAATAGTTTCAAACTACTGCTCCATAAAATTGTTAAAGAAAATCAACAACATGCACTGTCTTTATTTCTATCGTACCAGAATGCAGCGTTGAAAGACGTGCTAGAAATATGGATTTTTACTTTATAGGCATATGAAATATCAGTGCATTATCAACTCTAGCCATGCAAACAAGGTATATCTACAAATTTTACGGATTATTCCTATATTATTAATAGAAAACAAAGAAATAGCTAAATTATATACAACAAATCGTACCTCTTCCAGGATCACCTAAATATGAACTATCAAAATATCTATGTAACATTCTTTATTCTCTAGTCAAAAGTTCGCCTCACACCATCAAAAACGCCACCACCTTCCTCGTCAACATTGACACCGTTAAACTACAACCAGACACAGACACAGTTATGATATCTTACGACGTGACATTACTCTTCACATCCATACTAGTAGACACAGCCAAAGTATTAAAAACGAACTATTTACAAACGACAAATCTTGGCAAGCCACGACACAACTTGACAAAAATGACATCTTAGACTTACTCAGTCTTTGCCTCTTCACTGAATTCCCTTACAGAACTCATACCATAGACAAATTTCAGGCACACAAATTGTGTCACCACTATCCACCTTCACCGCAGAAATTATAATGCAACAACTCGAATCACAATCAGTCACCAACAACACAGACATCAGACTGAGGAAAAGATGTGTCGACGACATCTTTGCCATTGTCAAGAAAGACAAAACTGAACAAATCCTACAAACCTTAAACAATACAATAATAAACATAACCTTTACTAAAGATGAAGACATGAAAACAACTTACTTTTCTCTGTATCCTACTGACTAGAACAGCACACTAAACACACATATTGTGCCGCAAAACGACCCACACAGACCAAATATTTGATTTCAACATCAATCACCCAACACAACACAAAATATGCTGCATACGAACACCTTTTCATCAGAATCAACACTTATTGTAACACCGAAAAGGCTAAGAAAACAGAACGCAATTACTTATACTCCACATTTATAAAAACAATTACAATAGAAAATTTATAAACAAAATTATAAACAAAACACAAAACAAAACCCAAACCAACAAAAGTAACGAATAACCCGATGAAACAGTAAAAACAATCACATCCATGCATACATAAACGGAACATCAAAAAAGACTGCATGACTTCTTCGACCATTCAATATAAACGTCGCAAACAAACCAACACAAAGACAAATCATATTTTGCCAAACATAAAGACAAAACAACAACAATTCATGATACAACGGACGCAATCTACATGATGCCATTTAAAGATTGCTCAAAACAATACATATAGGACAAAAATCGAAGAAAATCGAAACAAGACTCACAGAACACAAAAACGCCATAAAACGACGAGATCCAAACTCATTAACGACAGAACACACGTTTGCAAATAACGACGCATAGGATTGGACAGAAATTAAAGTACTCGGACGCGCACAGACAAAACACGCACGCAAATTTAAAGACGCTTGGTACAGTAAAGACAACGACACAATGAACAAACATATTGACATACCTATCGTATATATTCACAGCTAAAGAAAAACGACAAAAAATCTACTAACGACACTCAAACCACAGCAACTCACGGTAATAATATATATTATCACAATCCTATTCACAATACACCCAAACCCACAACAACATATTTCACGTCATTCAATCACCTAAATCCACCATTAATAAAATAACTTATCCGGATAAACTTTTATCTTTCTAAAGTACATATATATAAGTTTAAAGAATGGTAATCCAGACATGCTTTATTGTAGTGCATGCCGTTATGTAATCTAGTACCTAATAACCAATTGCATATACAGTAAATAATAAATTATCTGTCAGTTTCCTGAAGATCGCCCTATGGCGTGAAACACCAAGTAGTGACAGCAAAAACTTATCAATATATTAACTATACAATACATTGATTTTTTAATACTGAATTGTAAGTAGCAATGCTGAAAATTACCATATATACATTGTTGTTCAATTATACATGGTTTCAGTTTATCTTTGTTGTTTTAGTATTTTGTCAAAGTGTTTCCTTCATGTGGTTATGTATAGATAACCAAGGTTAAAATCAACGCAAATACTTCCGATGTTCAAAATTACAAAAATCATGAATAAATATTTTTAAAATGCTGCTTCATAAAATTGATAAAGAAAATCAACAACAAGTAGTGTCTTCATTTCTATCGTCACAGAATGGAGCGTTGAAAGACGTGCAAGAAATACGGATTTTTACGAAATAACATACGACATATAAGTATATTATCAAATCTAGTTCTGCAGACAAGGTATGTACAAGTTTTTACGTTGGGGATTATTCCATTTAGTAGAAAAAATAAGGAAAAGATAAAAACAAAATTATGTTTATAATACATTGATTTTTCAAAACAGAAATTTTACTACTAATAATAAAAATTACCTTTTATACATTCTCGTTCACTCACTGCACCAACATTGATGGTACCTTTACTCTCATTACAGGGAAGACAACGAGTTTGTTTTGGATATGGTTGATATGTATAGATGGGACATTTGTCACATTTCTTACTTTCAAAAGAAAAGAATGAACCAATGGAACAATCTATAAAGACGATTAATGAAAATAAAACGTTGACTGACAATTGAAATTCTACAGTTGATTTATTTATTGTATTCAATGTTTCTTGTCTCATTATGTAAGTTAACTATGAACCAAATGAAAAGTTTAGAAAATTTCCAAGAACATAAAAACAACAAAAGTGATCAAGCAAAACACTTCACATTCCAAGAAAACAAATACTTACCAAAAGCATTGTTAAGAATAGCCACCTTTGGTATTGTGTCGCAGATTCCTGGAGCAAAAGCAAGATTGTCGAGAGCTACAATGTTTATTGTGTATCTACCCACGAAAGCTTCAACGATTAACTATGAAGAAAAAGTAAGGGGCTTGGACATATTGCCGAAGTTTAATTTTAAATTGTATAAATATGTGTAAGTTGCGTACCCTAGATAGACCCATGGTAAAATTAACTGTGACTTGGCCTTTTTTCCACTTATTTCCTTGATCAACACTTAATGACCACAGTAAGGAACTGTATCCATTGTGAAAATATTCTTGGTAGATATTCAATGTATTATAATGACTGCGAATATAATAGGAAAATGAAAAGCACACGAGAGAGTCCTTTCGATAGTTTCCAACCAACCAAGCTTTGCCTGAAATAACTGATCCCAAACTAAGATATCGTCCTACAACAAATGAAGAAACGTAAGATATATGTAGACTATTTATATAAAAATTAAAGATATCGTCCTGCAACAAATGAAGAAATATAACATATATGTAGACTATATAAAAAAAGAATGAGTATTTATTGATAACACATTTATCTAAAATTACTTACAAGGTCGCTCATAATAAGATTGATGCTTTTGGCACGCTTTGTGCAGTTAGATACAGCCGTTTTTTTGTGTAGGTGTAAAATTTACTTCACCTAGTTTTCTGGCATAAATTTATGAATACTAGTATATCGCAGTTTAAAAATTCAATAAAAAAATTCCAAATATAAAAACGAAATTGATTTTAAAACTAATTTTAACTGTAAAGTCTTTAATTATCTAATTTAGACCAAGCAAAATATACGTAACATTAGATTTCATAAACAAGATTTTAATTAAGAATTATAAAATAAGCACATTGAAACGCGTGGGCTGATTGGTCTAGAACTGTGTTAACATTAGCCTGTGCTAAACACATCCGAGCCCAACCAATCAAATAAATCATAACAATAAATCAGCGAAAGAGTATTCGAAAATCAATTATGAATACATTTTAGAGGAAAAATAAAATGTTTTTTTGTCTCGAATTATTGTTATTTTATATAAGAAATGAAAGATGTTTTTCGTGCTTGAACTTGCTTATGCAAACCTAGGAGACGTTTGTGGGAACTCTCGAGCAGGTGCAACCCTCGAACTTCGGTCTGGGGCTTGCACTAGTTTGCATAAGCCTGCGAAGTTTGCATAAGCCAGTGCAAACACGAAAAACATCTTTTATTTCTTTTGTAAAATAACAATAATGCAAAACAAAAATAACGTTTTAATGTTCGTCAACGTGTATTCATTATTGATTTGCAAATTCTTTTTGATGGATTGGTTGATTTGATTGGTTGAGCTCAGATCGTTATTCCCACGCTAATGCAAACACAGCTCAAAACCAATCAGCGCACGTATTACATTTTGCTTATTTTGTAATTATTGATGACAAGCATTTAAAATCTGAGTTGTCATTTTTGAAGACAAAATTTTATTAAATGACCTCTATCATTTTACTTATTGCAGCTTAAGCTGTCAGCTGGTTAAACTGTTGAAAATCTAATGTCTCTTTATTATAAATCACTTCAATCTTACCAAAATTAGAACCAGTAGCGTCATAAATTGAGTTTCTATATGCAGTACCAAGTTCCCAGTTTAAGTCATCGTCTCCTTCCACATTGCGCCATGGACAAACAGTTGTTCCCACTCCTTTTTGAAAATCACAGTTTTCGACTGAATGGGAAAAAAATCGAGATTTGAATAGCCATATTAGTTGTTAAAAATAAAGCAGAAGCCTAAAATGTATTTGTATGAAACAAAAACACACCACACAATACAACAGATTTTTAAGCAACGCTATGCTCCACAGCAGTTTAAATGATAAAAGCATCATAAACTTTTAAAGGTAAAAATGATTTTGCTTTTTAAATTATTTATCAATTCTTCTTTGTTGTTTGACAACATTTGTCGAATGTTTAGCAGAAAACTTGAAATTGTGCTAAAGATTTCCAGTCACCGAAGTCGTGGACACACAGACATCTTTAATGTGCACTAAATTTATCATGAATTTTACCAAACAACTTATTAACACTAAAGTTTGCAACAAGAATTAAAATTCTTCTACCTGTTTTGCTTGCAAAGCTTTTGGAATTAGTAGGCAGTGCAAAAAATCTACCTAGTGTGCGTGTTATTTAAACGATAATAATGGTAATTCTACTCTACAGGGTGTGTCAAAAAACCCTGAAAAGTTTGGAAAACGACACTAAAGTCATTTGGGCATACGATTTGCAAACGTTTCGTGGAAATAGTCAGCTGGATTTCCAAGGCGTTATCTGAGTATCTGAGAGGAAAATTGTCTCAAATAAGAAAAATTTAAAACGTAAAAATTGTGTTACAGAGAAGCTCATTTGAAATAGCTTGCGCATAAAAATCATATAGGTGTCATGAGTATTGATTAATTTGTAATTTGAGTAGTCGGATTCCAGTCTAATAAAGACACGAGGCACAATCATTACATGGTGTCAGATGGAGAAATTTCGACCCCCAGATCCACTCATATTCGAAGGAAATTTATCAGATTTATGGGATAGATGGAAACAACAATTCGAGCTTTATCTGGTAGCTACAGAATCACACGACAAAACAGAAGATATCAAGACGTCAATTTTACTAACATGTATCGGGAAGCACGGCGAAGAGATCTACAATACATTTACGTTCTCTGACGAGGCAGACAAATTGAAATTGAAACCAGTATTGGAGAAGTTTGAAGCATATTGCAAGCCGAGAAAAAATATCACTCTACTTCGACAAAATTTCCTTACGCACAAGCAACATGATGGGGTGACATTTGATGCCTTTGTCACCGAGCTAAAAAGACGAAGTGCACAATGTGAATTTGGCGACCTTAGAGAATCACTCATCAGAGACATGATAGTAATCGGGGTCTCAGACAACCCGCTTAGAGAGCGACTGTTAAGGACGGAGACTTTGACTCTAGAAAACGCAATAAAAATTGGTCAGGCATCAGAAGCAACAAAGCAACAAGCAATGACATTAAGCAGACCACACACCGGAAACCAGAACAATGTCGACGAACTACGCACGAAATCAAACAATACAAGGCGCCAACGACAACAAAGCGCATATACTTCTTTATCTTCGCAAGCTCACAGCAATTGTAAATACTGTGGCGATATTCACCAACGAGGAAAATGTCCTGCATATGGGAAAACATGCTCAAAGTGTCATAAATTGAATCACTTCGCCTCTGTTTGCTTATCTACATCCCGCAGCGTACATTATACCACGGAAGGTCATGAAGGTCACGATTACGAGATCACAAGCGATGCCAATAACATTTTCATAGGAACTCTCTCAACGGAAGTGACAGACAACTCCGTCAATACGGCTAATATTACGCAAGATGGAAATCGTGACTGGATTATCTCTCTGCGATCAAATGAAAGTGTCACGCGGTTCAAAATTGACACTGGAGCTCAGGCTAACGTCATACCAATGGCAACAATTGAGAAACTAGCAACTAGACCGCCTATTGAGAAAACTAATACAACGTTGACAGCATATAACGGAATGAACATTCCAGTGGTTGGAAAATGCACGCTGGACATTCAACATAACAATCAAACTCATGCAATACCGTTTGTTGTTGCAAACACTACTTCACCGCCACTAATTGGGTTACAAACCAGCATCGACCTCAATCTTATAAAGCGAGTTTGGACAGTAATTGCTAAAACACCAAACTTCATACAAGAGTACAAAGATGTTTTGGAGAACTTGGATGCCTAAAGGGTGAACATCACATTAGCATTGACCCCAATGTAACGCCAGTAGTTCATCCGCCTCGAAAGATTCCAATATCACTTATGGAACGTCTCAAAGCTGAGTTAAACGACTTGAAAAAGACGTCGTCTGGCATTTCGAAACGAAACACCGTCAAGCCATAGAAAATCCAAAACACCTCGTCACCAGCAGTCCAGTGTTAACCTACTTTAATCCAAAACATGCCATAAGGATCACAGCTGACGCCTCTAAATCAGATCTTGGTGCAGTACTCGAGCAATTAGAAGAGAACACCTGGAAGCCCGTCGCATATGCTAGTAGAGCAATGACTCAAAGTGAGCAAAACTACGCACAGATAGAAAAAGAGACATTGGCAATTGTGTTTGCATGCGAGCGCTTCCACGAATACACCTACGGCAGACCAATCACGGTACGTTCAGACCACAAGCCACTCAAAGCAATCTTTTCAAAACCACTATGCAGGGCTCCTCCGCGCTTGCAAAGACTACTGCTCAGGCTCCAGCGATATGAGCTAAGTGTTGACTACACACCAGGAACGGATATTCCCGTTGCAGATGCTCTTAGCAGAGCATACCTGGAAAGTAAACCCACACCAGAGATATCGGAGCAAGACATGAACTGTCATGTGCACTCAGCTCTGCACAACCTGCCAGTATCAGATTCCAAGCTACTAGAATTTAAACTCGAGACTGCTAAGGATCCTACTCTTCAAGAGCTGAAAAACATAACTGCCAATGGTCTTCCATCCAACAAACAACTCATCCCTGATGCTGTCAAGCCATACCTGACATTCATCGATGAAATATCAGAAGCTGAAGGAATCCTCCTTAGATCAAACCGCATCATAGTACCCTCCTCAATGAGACGTGAGATGAAAGCAAGAATTCACGAGGGACACTTAGGAATTGAGCGATGCAAAACGAGAGCAAGAGAAGTGATCTTTTGGCCAGGGATGGCTACAGAAATATCTGTGATGATTTCCCGCTGTGAAACATGCCTAGAATCAAGAAAACGACAGCAACGCGAACCACTTATGCCACTACCACCAGCTCATCATGCCTGGAGCAGAGTAGCATGTGACTTATTCTACATGAATGGCAAGGACTATTTACTAATTGTCGACTACCATACTAGTTTTCCAGAAGTAAGTCTACTTTCAGAAACTACCTCTGCCGGAATAATCAAGCACACAAAGTCAATATTTGCAAGACACGGTATACCAGACACAGTAGTCACAGACAATGGACCACAATTCGCTTCGAAGGAATACCGAGACTTCGCCAAGCAATGGGAATTTCAACACGTCACCTCAAGTCCTGTTCATCCGAGGTCCAATGGCAAAGTCGAGCGCAAAGTACAAACAGTCAAGACCCTCTTGAAAAAAGCCATTAAGTCTGGTGATGACCCATACCTAGCCCTACTTAACTTCAGAGCCTGCACAAGCGCTGACGGTACTCCAGCTCCAGCAGCCATGTTAATAAATAGGAAACTAAAGACTCGCCTACCCTCAATAGAGACCCAAGAAATCTCCAAGAAATCTATAATACAGAAACAGTACTACGATAAACATACAAAAACTCTCCCTGAGATTTCAGATGGTTCAAATGTTCGTCTTCACGATGGCAAAGACTGGAGAATAAAAGGACAGGTGATCCGGAAGGCAGAGACACCAAGGTCATATATCGTTCAAACTGACACCGGAGGCCAATTACGAAGGAACAGGCATGATATATTAGTCACTCCTGAACCTGCTGAGAATTCCCAACCAGAAGAAGTTGAAGAGCCTCATGTGCACCATAGTGAGCCTGAGGACACAAGAACAAGCGAGGATGAACATTCTACTCCACCCAGCTACGCTTATGTGACCCGCTATGGCAGGACTGTAAAACCACCAACTAGATTCGGCCAAGATACCTAAGTTACTTATAGAACATTGTCACTTAGCTAATCCAACATATAGATTACAATCTTGTTACAGTTAATTGTTAGATTAATCTCAGAAGGGAAGATGTCATGAGTATTGATTAATTTGCAATTTGAGTAGTCGGATTCCAGTCTAATAAAGACACGAGGCACAATCATTACAATAGGTAAAAAGAAATTGGAAGATATAGGGTTACAATATGACGTATGCTTTTAAAGGTAACAAGGTTTTAGGAAATTTTGCTAATGAGTATGCGAATGCATAACTTTTAAGTTGCGAATTGCATTGAATTTTTCATTTTTAAATGGAGTTTTGATATAGTCGTTATTAGTTATGCATAAATTTGACGGTAAATTAAGTCAAATTTGACTAATTCATGAAGGTTTCAAAACATGGCAAATAAAAAAAACGCTAAATAATCTGCAATTTGAATGCCAAGTGTTTGTATAAGGTTATACCTAATTTCCTAAAACTTTGTAAGCTTGAACAACATGTACCATATTTTAACCTTTCTTGTTCCAATTGCTTTTTATTCTTTTGATTTTTGAGCAGGAGTTTTTCAAAAGTATTTTTCGGTAACACAATTTTCCCACGAAATCGATTTTATTTGCCAAACGTTTCTGTCAGATGAACCAGTTATTGGAGGTCGAACTACCTATTTCACTAAAGGCTTTTGAAGATCTTGCGCGCTGATGAATTTAGAGAGGTTTTTCTGCTTGTTCAATTTTTTTTATATATAAACCCTGTATAAACAACATGCAAATTATGAACGTAAAAACCTGTTTTATATGGAATTGTAAGCTATTGGCCTGTCTTTGTAATTTTTACGTTATAGGGAATTTTGAAAAAAGCAGCATTACGTTTATTTTATCAACTGATTTATAAAATAGATGAACAAAATCAATAACACGCCTTGTCTTCTTTTCTATTGTACGGAATGGAGCGCCGAAGGACTTGCCAAAAGTACAAATTTTTACAAATTAACATATGAAATATCAGTACATTATCAAATCTAGCCGTGCAAGCAAGGTATAAACAACTTTTTACATTATGCCTTTTAATATAAAAACCAAGGAAAAGTGGAAAAATATTCATAGTATATTAATTTTTCAGCACTGAAGTGACACCTTAAAATTACCTTTTATACATTCTTGTTCACTCACAGCACCAATATTGATGGTACCTTTACCATCATTACAGGTAAGACAACGAGTTTGATTTGTGTACGGCTGGTAAGTAGAACTGGGACATTTGTTACATTTCTTATTTAGAAACGAGAAAAATGAACCATTGGAACAATCTGAAAAGAGAATTTTTGAAAATAAAACGTCGAGTGACAATTGAAAGTTTACAGTTGATTTATTTATTGTATTCAATGTTTTTTGTTCCATTATGTAAGTTAACTATGAACCAAATAAAAAGTTAGAAAATTTCCAAGAACATAAAAACAACAAAAGTGATCAAGCAAAACACTTCACACTCCAAGAAAACAAATACTTACCAAAAGCATTGTTAGGAATGGCCACCTTTGGTATTATATCACAGCTTCCTGGAGCAAAAGCAAGATTGTCGAGAGCTAGAAAGTTTTTTGTGTATCCACGCACGACAGCTTCAAAGATTAACTATGAAGAAAAAGTAAGAGGCTTGGAAAAATTGCCGAAGTTTAATTTTAAGTTGTATAACTATGTGTAAGTTGCCTACCCTAGATAGACCCATGGTAAAATTAACTGTGATTTGACCTTTTTTCCACTTAGTTCCTTGATCACCGCTTAATGACCACAAAAAAATATTGTATCCATTGTGAAAATATTCTTGGTAGATATTCATTGTCTCATTATAACTGCGATGCATGTAATACGAAAATGAAAAACACACGAGAGAGTCGTTGCGATAAATTCCAACCAACCAAGCTTTGCCTGAAATAACTGATTTCAAACGAAGATATCGTCCTACAACACATGAAGAAATGTAAGATATATGTAGACTATATATATAAAGAATAAAAATATTGTCCTACAACACATGAAGAATTGTAAGATATATGCGGACTTTATATATAAAGAAATATAAAATTATCGTGGTTTAACAAATTCAATAAACAAAATTTTTTAACAAACCATAAATAGCTATAAAATTATCATCTATTTTTGTGTCTTTTAGCTGAATGAAACTACATCTGATTTTAATTTTAAGTAAGTATCTATTTTAAATCAAGCAATATATTTATGACGTTCGATTTTATTAAGAAGTAACTTACTGTTTGACATTTAAAATCCGAGTTGTCATTTAAAGACAAAATCCTAAGTACTCTTCATCATTTTTCTTTTTTTAATTCAAGCAGTTGTACACACAACACTTATTCACTATAAACGCTGCCATCTTACCAACACTGAAGCCTGTAGCATCATAGCGTGGTGGTTCCAAATATCTTGAGTATGATGTACGAAGTTTCCAGTCAAAGTCATCGTCAACTTCTACGTTGTGCCATGGACATAAAGTAGTTCCCAGTCCCTTTTGAAAATCACATCTTTTGACTGAACGAAGAAGAAATCGTAAGTTAAACAGCCATATTAGTTGTTATAGAATATAGGAAAAGTCTGAAATGCATTTGTATGGAATAAAAACACACCACACAAGATAATGGGTTTTTAACTGCAAAAAATGTTGTGTAAATTGTACACAAAAATTTCAGTAAAATGTGTATCCACAGTGACACAAACGCTAGTGTATAGATTACAAAAAACTATTGGTAAATTTAATATTTTGAGTGAAAGGATGAATTACACACTTTTGGGAAAATGTATAACACAAAATTGTAGGCAAAAATATAGAAACAGACAATGCATTAACAGCAACACAGGTTTTAAAGTAAAATTTCTATTAAAACACACTTATAAATAGGTATAAAGAGATAGTCGTTTATTGTGTAGAAAATTACATTGATCAATAAGACATGTATACTACAAAACCAAGCATATATTAATAGTCGTAATACTAACTAGCTGACAGCGTCATGCAGCATATGTGGCGCTAGTCAAAGTAAAAATAACATGCATCGATTATATGTGGATTACTGGATTTTTAAGAACTCCTGAATATATATTTTCCGTGCAGACATCCCTTCCGGTAAATAACATATATTTTATGAGTCAACTTAAAAATTAATTTGATTACACTTATTACAAAACATTGTAAAACTTGTCTAAATTGCGCAACTCTTCACTTTAACGTTCTGCTCTACATGATGTTGTGTATAACAATTTACACAAAAATGAGCAAATTGTTTACTCAAAGAAATTTGTATATTTTCAATTCAAAAAAGTAAGTTAAGATTTTACCGTAGTTTTAAGTTGACAGAACTCAAAATTTTAGTTAAATGAGATGATTTACGCAATTAATTGCGTAAATTTACACAAAATTTTACGCAGTCCATTTAACATTATGTTTCACGTAAGGTTTAAATAAGGGGTCTCCAAACTTTACAGCCAGAGGGCCACATGACTTTCATCCAGCATGTTGAGGGCTGACGAATCGTATACCGCTGGTCAAAGAGCGAATATTTTAATAAAACGAAGTACATAACACAAGCTTCTTTAGTTAAGAAAATATTTATTCAAAATTTAAAGGTTAAATTTCAACAAAGTGTAATATCATAAAAAAATCACAATTAGTCTGTTCAGTTTTCTCAATGTGAGTGGTGAAATTGGCTTTCTTAAGTATCTCTGCGGTCCGGATTGAGAGGCCCAACGGGCCGCATCTGGCCCGCGGGCCGTAGTTTGGAGACCCCTGGTTTAAATGATAAAAGCATCAAACTTATAACTACACAAATTATTTTACGTTTTTAATCAATCAGCAATTCTTGTTTGTAATTTGGCTACGTTTGCTGAAAGTTCAGCAAAAAAACTCGAAATTGTGTAAAAAAATTTCCAGTCTCAGAAGTCGTCGACACACAAAAATCTTTAATGTTCACTAAATTTATCAAGAATTTCACTAAATAACTTAATGACAAAAATTTCTTCCAGCAAGAGTGAAGATCGTTCTATATACTTAATATATTTGTAAAACAAACGGTAACTTTACTATTAAAAATATGTCGAATTGTAGATTATGAATGTTAAAATTGCTTTTTTTAAATGTTATGTGGACTGTCTTGGTAACTTTTTCAAGTATTTTGAAGAAAAGATTATATATAAGTCTACTTTATATACTTTTTTAACCTAAATACAAATTTTACTATATGCAATTTAAATGCGATATTTGGGGGTATATGCTGAACAAGCAATTTGTTAAAATATTTCGTAAGCGTGTTATATATAAATAACAACGAAACAAATCAACGCTAATATTTATGATGTTCAATGATTGAAAAATCATATGTAAATAGTTTCAAACTACTGCTCCATAAAATTGTTAAAGAAAATCAACAACATGCACTGTCTTTATTTCTATCGTACCAGAATGCAGCGTTGAAAGACGTGCTAGAAATATGGATTTTTACTTTATAGGCATATGAAATATCAGTGCATTATCAACTCTAGCCATGCAAACAAGGTATATCTACAATTTTTTACGGATTATTCCTATATTATTAATAGAAAAACAAAGAAATAGCTAAATTATATACAACAAATCGTACCTCTTCCAGGATAACCTAAATATGAGCTATCAAAATATCTATGTAACATTCTTTATTCTCTAGTCAAAACTTCGCCTCACACCATCAAAAACGCCACCACCTTCCTCGTCAACATTGACACCGTTAAACTACAACCAGACACAGACACAGTTATGATCACTGATCTGATAATAGACTGGATATAGCTTCTACAGGTAGCAAAAGTGAAGCCTAATTATATATGCAAAATTCACTTCCGGTTACCACGGCGAGATACAAATTACTATAGAAATGTATGGCGGATAACGTTTACAAACATGGATTTTCGAATATTTAAGACCTTTCGCGACTCCTTACTAACCTCAAGTATTAGTCATGG